GCTTAAAACTATTTGCAAATATATTATCAGAAAGTTTAATGGAGACGGAGTAGTCCCGAACTGTGCCAAAAATTTCATCAATTTTTCCGATCTGCTCCTTATTTTCGAGGAATATTGGGGCATTGAAATATGGTACATCATCTATATCTACTTTACAAACTAGATCGTTCTGGCATGCATAGCTAAAGTTGCCCAATGCAATCACACGCTCGGGCGGGCCCTGATCAAAGGTACCCCGACCTCCGCCTTTATTAAATCCTCCGCCGAACTTGCTGAATCCACCACCGCCGCGTCCACCTCCACCACCTCCGCGAGAACCTATTTATGAAAATTTTTTTAACAAAATGTATGTAAGTTTAAGTTCGCAACCATTGGTGTCAAACCTCTGCCACCAGAACCACGAGGGCGTCCAAAAGCCATTTTAATGCGAAAAGGCGCAACAAAGTCAGAAACAAATATAAACACGTGCGACTACTCGTGAGCTGTTAGTGTTGTATTAAATAGTTCAGTATAGGTTCAATTGAGCGGTTCATTAAAATCATGTCCCTTACTATCATCGTTCATTTAGTTCATTTGTCGGATTCTTTTAATGCTATCAGTTCATTCTTAATTGCTGTGCGTCAAGTTAGCGCAGGAGACTTATCATCGATTATTGGAACTTGTTTCACTCTATTTCAAATGCATTCAATAATGTTTAACGGCAATTTTAAACAGCTGGACCTACCCCCATTTAAGCGCAGCTGTGTGCAGCAAAACGACGAAATCTAATCTTAAAATAAAAACTGTTGAAGTCAAGTTCTTGCATCAAAATTTTTAATAGGTTCGGTTACAGGTTCGTTTTTTTTTGAATAAGATAGTATATTTGATGAACTGCCGCTGATAATAAAACTTGTAAGGTATCCAGACTCGATATATCGCCGCAAAAATGTAACACGATATTTAACTTTTTGTGGAAAATATCGATATTCCGATATAATTTCGATAGGCCTAATTTCGTATTAGCATTCCAATTCGTTCGCACAAAATTTAAGGTAGGTGAAGAAATGACGTCATATGTGAAGAAATAATTAAATAAATTCGCTGCTTGAACAAAATTGTAAACAAGTTATAGAAGTACATAGGAAATTCTTGTAAAAAAGCATGCAAGCATGTTTATACTAAAGTGCATGTATATAGAAGATACATACATACGCTTGTATACATTTTGTTTGTATGTATTTGATATGGTAAAAGTTTTATTTTCTATGCTCCGGATATCCATTTGTGGTCAACTTAGTAATTAGTCAGTGCTTTATTTTCAGGAATTCATTTAAAAAAAAATGACCCTAGGCGAGACACTAAACGAGATACAAACGAAAAGCCAGGGCCACGAAACAGCAACAGCAATTAAACGAACGCAGATACAAATAAATCAGCACAGTGACAGTATGGACAACGCGTACATTGATAAAGCCAATATTAATGCAAAGCATCAAAAACAGGTAAAAACTTAGTTTAAAAATGATTTAATATATGACCAAAATTTTTACAAATTATGCACACCTTAGTCCTTGTATCTAAAACTGTCAGACAACGGATTAAAATCTATATAGAATGAAGAGCTCGACCATCCGCCTGATGAGATCACCTCACATAAACACACACACTCACGCACAGCTATCTCTGGCGTACATTGTGGCATGACCCACCCCCACCCTCGCCGTTTCCAGTGCTGATCACACTATTGTGCGATGGTCACCAATAATAACTGTAAATTCAAATACATGAGATGCATATGTTGTATCTGAATCTGTGTATATGTGTGTGTGTGTATGTACGCTAACATTAAAAGAAACTAAACTGTATTGTGCTCAGTCGACGGAATCGGTGCTATTCGTTCTAAATTAACTAACTATTTTATGTGTATGTATGTGAATTATGGTTTAATATATGAATAGCAACCCATGCTTATTTTTTCAATTGGTTTTTATTCTCTGTACCCCAATGAAAACACATGATCGGGACAACAAACTAGATATTCGAGCGCAATGCTGTGGAGAAGTATTTATTAACTAATAATGGAGTGAACTTCACCCTTACTACCTTTAGCTGACATTTTCCCTTGATTTTTGATTTAAATTAAATTTCTTAAAGATCTTTGCAAAAGCTTACACCCGAGTTTTCGCTCATTCAACATTCAACATTTGAAAGATCTTTAGAAATACATTTAAACTTCATTCAACAAAACGTTGAATACATTTAAACTTCATTCACCAAATCGTGGAGTCTCAAAGTTAAGCAAACATCTTTGTTAATAATCGAATGGTAAACAAAAATGGCACGCAAACATCTTTTGCGTTTTTTCCATACTTGCGGGTGGAATTACCCACAACCACGTCTAAGCTCTTACGGTTTGGGCTGTGTTTGTTAATCACCAAACAGTTTTATATATAGGGATTAAAGTTGTGTTTTTTATTATCCATATATCCAGAACGATGCAACAATATCATTTCTACGAGCTGCACGGAGCGGTGATCTGGGCAAGGTTCTGGAATTCATAGATGCTGGTCTAATCACGGACATTAACACTTGCAATGCGGTAAGACATATTCGCAGATGTATTTTATTGTAAAGCGCTTGCAAAGTATAATAATATAATAACTATCAGAATATTCAGAAATCATTGGCGCTATCATTTCAAACAATATATTTTATTTTTATTTTTCTAAGAACGGATTAAATGCACTGCATTTGGCTGCCAAAGATGGTTTCGTGGACATTTGTGAGGAGCTACTGAAACGTGGCATTAACGTCGACAACGCGACCAAAAAGGGCAACACCGCGCTGCATATAGCCTCATTGGCGGGCCAGCAGCAGGTGATCAAACAGCTAATCCAGTACAATGCGAACGTGAATGTGCAGTCGCTAAACGGCTTTACGCCATTGTATATGGCTGCACAGGAGAACCATGACGGATGCTGCCGACTGCTGCTCAGCAAGGGCGCTAATCCGTCGCTCGCGACCGAAGACGGCTTCACGCCTCTGGCAGTGGCCATGCAGCAGGGCCACGACAAGGTGGTCGCGGTGCTGCTTGAGAGCGATGTGCGCGGCAAGGTGCGTTTGCCGGCGTTGCATATTGCTGCCAAAAAGAATGATGTTAGTGCGGCAACGTTGCTGCTGCAGCACGATCCGAATGTTGATATTGTATCGAAGTCTGGCTTCACGCCGCTGCACATTGCCGCCCATTATGGCAATGTAGACATTGCCAGCTTGTTGCTGGAACGCGGCGCAGATGTCAACTATACGGCCAAGCATAACATCACGCCGCTGCACGTGGCCTGCAAATGGGGCAAGGCGGCAGTGTGCAGTCTCTTGCTGTCGCAACATGCCCGCATAGATGCAACAACTCGAGATGGCTTAACACCGCTGCACTGTGCATCGCGCTCCGGTCACGTTGAAGTCATTCAGCTGCTGCTCTCTCAGAATGCGCCAATACTGTCAAAGACAAAGAACGGCTTGTCAGCCCTGCATATGTCGGCGCAGGGGGAGCACGACGAAGCGGCACGCCTGTTGCTTGATCACAAAGCACCTGTCGATGAGGTTACCGTTGACTATTTGACGGCCCTGCATGTGGCCGCCCACTGTGGCCATGTGCGTGTGGCCAAGCTGTTGCTTGACTACGGCGCCAATCCGAACTCGCGTGCCCTCAACGGATTTACGCCCTTGCACATTGCCTGCAAGAAGAATCGCATCAAGGTTGCCGAATTGTTGCTTAAACACGGCGCCAACATTCGTGCAACCACGGAATCCGGCTTGACCCCACTGCATGTGGCCAGCTTTATGGGTACGTTGCGAATTTTCTGCTTTTCTTCCAATTCAGCTAATCAGAAATCTGTGAAATGATTATTTGTAGGTTGCATGAACATTGTTATATACTTGCTGCAACACGACGCCAGTCCCGATATGCCCACAGTTCGCGGCGAGACGCCGCTGCATTTGGCTGCGCGTGCAAATCAGGTTTGTAATATTCTTCTGACAAACTGATTGATGTTTACATTTACTTCAACTCTAGACTGATATTATTCGAATATTACTGCGCAACGAAGCTCAAGTTGATGCAGTTGCTCGCGAGGGTCAGACTCCGCTGCATGTGGCGGCCCGTCTGGGCAACATTGACATTATAATGCTCATGCTTCAGCATGGGGCCCAGGTGGATGCCAGCACGAAGGATACGTACACGGCTTTGCATATTGCTGTCAAGGAGGGCCAAGAGGAAGTCTGCCAGCTGCTCATCGAGAATGGCGCCAAGCTGGACGCTGAGACCAAAAAAGGCTTTACACCGCTGCACCTGGCCAGCAAGTATGGGAAGGTAAAGGTGGCAAATCTATTGCTACAAAAAGGTGCCGCCATCGATTGTCAGGGTAAAAACGATGTGACACCTTTGCACGTGGCCACGCACTACGATCATCAGCCTGTGGTCCTGTTGCTGCTGGAGAAGGGCGCCTCGACGCAAATAAGCGCACGCAACGGGCATAGTTCTCTGCATATCGCTGCCAAAAAAAATAACTTGGAAATTGCGCAGGAGCTACTGCAGCACGGCGCCGATGTGGGAGCAACAAGTAAATCTGGATTTTCCCCCTTGCATCTGGCTGCGCTGGAGGGACACGTCGAAATGGTTCAACTACTCTTGGAACATGGTGCCAATGCCAATAGTTCAGCAAAGAACGGCTTGACTCCGTTGCACTTGGCTGCCCAGGAGGGGCATGTTCAAGTCTCGCATATTTTACTCGAACACGGCGCAAACATTTCGGGGCGTACGAAGGCTGGCTATACGCCCCTTCACATTGCTGCCCACTACAATCAAATAAATGAAATTAAATTTCTGCTCGAAAATGATGCCAACATTGAAATTACAACAAATGTTGGCTACACACCGCTCCATCAGGCGGCACAGCAAGGACATACAATGGTAATCAATCTACTGCTTAGACACAAGGCAAATCCCGATGCAATTACAAATGTAAGTTTCCCAAGCTTTTGCCATACTTTATATTTTTACTGCCACGATCCCTTTAAATAACGCAGAGCTAATAGTTTAAAGCTTATGCAAATTTCAGGAATTTGGGAAATACCTCGTTGACTTCACTCAATCTTCACGTCTTTTCAAAAATGTAATATCCGACCGATTGTTCGTATGTCAGCTATAATAGAATTCAGTAGTCCAGGACTCGTTCGATAAAAATATCTGTAAAAATAAACAAAATTTTTCATGATTCATGACTTTGCTGCGGAATAGATAAGAGATGCGCCTCCCGTGAAGAATGCAGCTAGCTGGCTACATTTTTATACTCTGAACCCCTAAAAAATGGGTGTAAGGGTATATTGTATTTGAGCTAAATCCAAATGTATGTAAGAAGGAAGCATCTCCGACCCCATAAAGTATATATATTCTTTATGAGCACCAATAGCCGAGTCGATCTAGACCGTCTGTCTGTCCGCCTGTCCGTCTATCCGTATGAATGCAAGGATCTCAGAACCTAGAAGAGCTAGAGACTTGCAATTTTAGATGTAGGTGCTCGTAGTGCCTGCGCAGATCGAGTTTGTTTCCGATAATCGATAACTTACTCAAGCAATCGATAAAGATATATATCAATATCCTGTTTTTTGCCAATTTTGGTAAATAATAAGAGCTAGAGTCACCAAACTTGACATATAGCTTCTAAAATATAATATACATATATGCATTTGATCTTGGAAGAAGAGGGTTCAGGGTATCCCTTAGTCGGGAGCTCCCGACTAGCACCTTTCACTTGTTGTATAGCGATAATCAATAGCTCGACTGTATACTACTTAGTTTCGATTGGAACTGAGACTAAGCAATTGAAATACCGAGAGATTTGTGTTCATTAAAAATTATGTCTATTTTTCCACGCGACCAACAAGACCAAAAGAATAGAGCAATAGACAATCTATTTTTAAACAGGCTTTGTTTATTTTCCATCTATATACTGTGTGTACTGCATACAAATGAAAATATATAGATACAATATTCAATTCAAATCTCAAATTGATCAACAAAAAACTTGGCACGTGGTGCACTCATTCTCTATTGATTGGTGATCTCTATCTCTCTTTCTCTCGTCTCCTCTACTGACTTGCTGACGCTCTGTATCTATAAATATATATATATATATGAAATTCTCTTGCTCTCTGAGTATTTTATTGGATATTGAATTAGTCATTCACATATGCTCTCATGTTTCTCAAAGTTCGGGCGTTGTTCGGAAAATGTTAAACAGTTTTATATAAATTTTGAAGTTGGTTGAGCTTCTCCAGCAAATTGTTAGTGAAAGTGTTTTATTAAAAGTTTGTTGTTTTTTTTTATATATATATACCCAAAACCTATTAATAAGGGTATACTGTATTTGTGCAAAATCCAAATGTATGTAACAGTTAGAAGGAAGCATATCCGACCCAATAAAGTATATAAATTCTTAATCAGCATCAATAGCCGACTCGATCTAGCCACGTCCGACTGTCTGTCTGTCCGTCCATCCGTCCATATGTATGAACGCAAGGATCTCAGAACCTATAAGAGCTAGAGACTTGAAATTTTAGATGTTGGTGCTCCTAGTGCCTGCGCAGATCGAGTTTGTTTCAATAATCGATAACTTACTCCGTTTTCAAGCAATCGATAAAAATCGATATCGATATTATGTTTTTTGGGCAATTTTGGCAAATATTAAGAACTAGAGTCACCAAACTTGACATATAATAGAATTTGATGAATTTGCATTTGATGTTGGAAGAAGAGGGTTCAGGGTATCCCCTAGTCGGTAGCTCCCGACTAGAACCTCTGACTTGTTTTTTTGTTTTTTATTATATTATATTTATAACATCTTGTTTTCTCGCTTCCAGAATGGTCAAACAGCTTTGAATATAGCTCACAATCTAGGCTATATAACAGCCGTAGAGACACTTAAAGTTGTAACGCAAACGTCCGTAATCAATACATCGACTGGTGTGCTAGAGGAAAAGTACAAAGTCGTAGCTCCGGAATTTATGCACGAAACGCTGCTATCCGATTCCGAAGACGAAGGTGGCGACGAACTTTTAGATCATAATCAATACAAATATATGGCGACCGACGATTTAAAAGCCGCCAACGATCATGATAACCAAAATTTTGACACTACCAATCCCGAACACGATCAATTGGATGGACTTGGCGGCCGAACAATCGAAAGAGGTGCGTAGTTATATATATATATATATATATAAATACTTAGTGCTACTCAACTAATCACATATATTTAATTCACCCGATAGAAGTAACCAGGGCAATTGCATCAAACTTGAATGCATCTTCTATGGAACGACAAAGCGATAATGTGGTCATCGTACGACCGCCCGTTCATCTGGGGTGAGTCATCATTTTTGACTTAAATCACAGTCACAAAACAAGTTAAGCTTTTCGGTACTACTAATTGCAGATTCCTCGTCTCGTTCCTCGTGGACGCGCGTGGCGGATCAATGCGTGGCTGTCGACACAGTGGAGTTCGCATCATTGTGCCGCCCAAGGCGTGTGCAGAACCAACGCGTATAACCTGTCGCTATGTTAAGCCTCAGAGAGTGGCTAATCCACCGCCATTGATGGAGGGTGAGGCGCTGGTTAGTCGCATATTGGAAATGTCCCCCGTCGAGGGAAAGTTTTTAAGGTACGTTATCAGATTTGTTTTATTTTAAATCATAATTGAAGTTTACTTCTCCATTCTATGTACTTGTATTCAAATTTAAAGCCCCATTGTACTAGAGGTGCCGCATTTTGGATCGCTGCGCGAGAAGGAGCGGGAAATTATCATATTACGATCAGATAATGGCGAGAGCTGGCGGGAGCATAGTGTTTACGAGGACGAAGAGCACTTATTGGGCGCCTTAAACGAAACGATCGATGCCGATTTAAATCCACTGGAAGATCTACACACAAACCGTATAATACGTATTGTGACACAAAATGTGCCACATTTCTTTGCCGTTGTCTCGCGCATTCGCCAAGAGGTCCATGCAATTGGGCCCGATGGCGGTACCGTTTCATCTACAGCCGTGCCGCAGGTGCAGGCGATATTTCCACCACATGCATTGACTAAGAAAATTCGAGTCGGTCTTCAGGCACAGCCAGTAGACTTGATTGGCTGCTCCAAGCTGCTTGGTCAGGGCGTTGCAGTCTCGCCCGTTGTCACCGTGGAGCCACGCCGACGCAAGTTTCACAAGGCGATAACATTGAGCATTCCAGCGCCAAAAACATGCAATCAAGGCATGGTTAATGCACCATATAGCGGTACGAATGGTAACGCCGCGCCTACTTTGAGGCTCTTATGCTCGATAACTGGTGGACAGAACCGGGCCATTTGGGAGGACGTAACTGGTTCGACGCCCTTGGCGTTTGTTAAGGATAGCGTAAGCTTTACCACTACCGTATCGGCACGCTTTTGGCTAATGGATTGTCGCAATGTTGCCGACGCTGGACGAATGGCCACAGAACTTTATACGTATATGGCTCAGGTGCCATTTATGGTCAAGTTTGTGGTATTTGCAAAGCAAATATCCGCTACGGAAGCAAAGCTATCCGTGTTCTGTATGACTGACGATAAAGAGGACAAGACTCTCGAGCAGCAAGAGTATTTCAGCGAGGTTGCAAAGAGTCGGGACGTCGAGGTATTACAGGATCAAAATATATATCTTGAGTTTGCTGGCAATCTAGTGCCCGTATTGAAATCGGGCGAGCAACTGAATACCAAGTTCCAGGCATTTCGTGAGAATCGTTTGTCTTTTATAGTGCATATCAAGGATCAAGAGCAGCCGCACGCTCGCCTCTGTTTTATGAGCGAGCCGAGAGTTGGACCCGGTGAGGCACCATTGCAGCCAATCTGTGCTCTAAACGTGTCCCTGGCAGCCCACGAGGTTAATCAGGTGTTTAACAGGTCAAATGAAAATGGTATCGATAATGGATACAACATGGATCACGGCCTGAACTACAAGGATATGATCAATGCCGGCATAAAGGCCAGCACAAAATCGCCCGACAATACAATAATACGGCCTATTGCCCACGTAACGGAAGACATACAGCGCGCTGATATCAGATTATCTGATATATCGAATTTGCTGGGAAGTGACTGGCCGCAGCTGGCAAAAGAATTGGGTGTACCCGAGACCGATATCGAGCTAGTCAAAGCTGAGTACGCTGATCAACCGGCTGCCCAGCAGGGTCTGGTTATGCTGCGACTCTGGCTAAAACAGGAGGGCACTCGCGCCACCGGCAATGCCATGGCTCAGGTACTAAACAAAATTGGCCGAGACGATATTGTGGAACAGTGCATTTTTAACTTGGAGCCAGTCACCGATAAACTGGAGCGCGGCCTGGCCACAGCCAGATTGCAACAGAATCAAACCAATCTCGCTGACGGCCTCAATGAAACATTGAATATAGATCAGCTTAGCCAAGATGATGAATTGTGCCCAAAAGCATGCCAATCCCAGAATGGTAAGTTATCTCTCTGTCAACAAATATTAAACGCAAATGTATATATTCTTTATAGACACAACAGATAGACTCTGCTCGACACCGCCGCCAACACCGAGTGAACCGCAAGAATATCAGATTCCCGAATATGTGCATGAAAATATCGTGTCAAAAGATAGTAACTATTAGATAGAAAGGAATCCTGTATTTTTATTGGTCTCTAATTGTTCTTTTAATTTATTAAGGCATTGAGACGGAGGACAATTTAATAAAATCATTGCACCTAAAAGATTTGGACAGGATTCCAGACTCAGTTGAGGACACGCTATTGCATTCACTGGCGGACAAGTGCCAACCAGCCGGCAATATACATGTTAAAGCAATTACGACGAGTAATTCCGATTTGCAAAGCAATATTTCAAACAAAACAAAAGATTGAACAGTTGATATATCATGTTTTATTTATTTATATGGATGTACTCTTTTTTTGTTTGCAACTACAAACGAAGCTCATGTAGTATACGGTACATGTTCAAATGTATTAAAAGCAGATTTATTTCGACGGACGGGACGATTTCAATTTTGTTTTTTTGCAGCTATAGTTAAAAAGAAAAAAAATATTTTCATTGCTTTTAATATGGATTCTAATTAAAATAGAAGTCCGACGAGATATCTTCCAATTTTATTGCACCAGTAAAAACTATGATGTTGTCTTGCAATATTTATTCAAAGTACATAATTAATTTGTTTTTCGTGTGTGTTTAAATAAAAAACATATTTAATAATTTTAGCTTGGTGTTGAATTCAATAGGAAGCCCTCGGTTTGCACGCCTTGAATTCATCCGAGTAGAGTAATGCGTAATATTTTATTTCCAAAATAAATTGTTGAACTTTAATTGGATGTACTTGTATTATGATATTATAGTCAAAATTGGTATATTTCGATATAATCGTGGGGAGACTATCCTTAAGAAAGATATGTATTTCGTGAATTCAAATAAGACTAAAATCGCCAATAGTCGCAGCTGTCGAGCTGAACTAAAAATAGGAATAGTCAATTATTAACTTAGGAACATTTTAATTTAAAAGAAGCCCGCTCATTTTTTAAAAGAGAATTTATATAGATGGGAAATTATTGGGAAAACTAAACTGCATTTACAAAAAATTAATTATCGTTAATTGACGGTAAAAAGTTTGCTGTTTGATGTCTGCAAAAACAGAAGCATTTGGTATATAATTGCAGGCCACTCGATAACATACTCATTTATCGAATAGTTTTCGATATCATGAGATCAATGTGACTGTCTATCTTTTGCATTAATACACACGCTTACATATTTCTATCTATATGACATGTGTATGTATATTAACATATGTGCTCATACATACATATGCTTCGTCTCGCAGAAAAACGTGTGGCAGTGAAAAACTCTCAGCTACGGATTCTATTAAATCATAAATGAATAGTAATTTTTAACGAGAATCAATACTAAACGTATTATGGGAAATATTTGCCATGAGGGCATAAGATTTATACATGCATATGTACTTATCTATTTAGAGGTTTGATTGACGGTTATTTAGAAAATTAATTTTTTAGTACATGCATATACATAAATATACCGACAAGTAAGTGTTGAAATTTGTGTGTAGTGTGTTATGTGTGTTATGTCACTTGTCGCATGACTCACATTCTGTCTATATAGTAATTATTTCATTTAATGTGTAAAGGTCGTTCTGATTCATTGAGTTCTGAATATTTAGAACAAAAGATGTGAACGAAGCAAGTGGAACATTTATAAGAGTTGCTTATAACTTCAGCGTATGTATGTATGAATGTACATAGAACATTTGCGGTGTGGCACCACAACCTCCTATGCAATGCAAAGACATCGTTATCGATTATTCCCAAATCGAGTTTAATGCAAAGAAAAGAATACAAGTATAGCAAACATCACAACAGCCTATAGAATTAACTTAGTTATGATTTTCTTTAAATATATATGAGTAATAACAGACTCTTATTAATTTCAGACAACCTACAGCGAACAGCTTTCCACACTTTCCACGTTTTCTTGACTTGTGTGTGTGTATAAAAAGCCAACGCCAAGCCGCCGCATGCATTTGTCGCGATGAGTATGCCATCCAATGTTACTCATCAAGGAATGAGCGTAAAAAACAGTAATTTTCCCATTTTTAAACCAGGCAAATCACAAGTTGTAGTTCAAAACAAAACAACGATTTGTAAATATAATAAGTCAACGTTCTATCAACAGTTGTCATTTGATCATCTCGCGGAAAATCACATAATAGCTGAACAATTATTATTGCTAAGCGTATAATTTAAAAGACGCCCTGTTTAACAAGAAAATACTTTAAAAAAAATACTCTAGTGAACTGTGTGTGTTTGTGTGTATTCAACGACAATATAATCGCGATTGAAACGTTATAAAATACAACGAAACTTTGGTAATGTATATATGAATGGATATGTACATATGAACGCAGGAGAATACACACTTGAGAAACTGAGAGGACGTGAATTAATCAGATTTTCAGATTTCCACCTAACACATTGGCAGGCCATCGGGTTGTCAAAGAAACAAGTATCTCCTTCTAGTGATAACGTAATGAATTCAGTTCAAAGTGCAACCGAGCAGCAGGAGCATATCGGGTCATTCAAGAGAAGGTTGCGTAAGCGTCGAGACGGTGACGTTATCGACACAGACACTGACACCGACTTGGACGTGGACGGCGCACAGCTGGGATCAGTGGCGTATATTGAACAAGCTGCCGGCTTTGGCCTGATCCTGATCGATTTGGTGCTACTGCAGAAAGAGTACGTCAAACAATTCTATTTCGAGAAGCGCGTAGGCAGCGGAGGACAACAACAACAAAAACAACTGGCCGGAGCGTGGTGTCTGCGCCTGGTGAACGCTAGCTCGAATTTTGGATGATTAAAGTTCATTTGGCTCGGTAGACCGGCGCGCGGAGGTGAATTCCTTTGGAAGTGGATTGCGAAATACCGGTACGAGCTTTACGCTTTGCGACAACGTAAAAGAGTGCGGTGGGGCACTTCCATTCCAGCTCGTTTCGATTCGCTTTTTCTCGATATCGTTCCGTCGCCCCACTCTCTCACATGTGAAACGGTCAAAGATGCCACCACGCACGGTCTCCGCGTTCCCTAAATATGGCTTGTTCCTTTTGGCGGCGTCTCGCGTAGTCGTTGTTGCATCCACTCCGACAAACCGGCATGTACGGGAGATGTCCAGCTGACATAGTCAATCAGAACACAAAGGATATAAAGAAAAGAAAACTAACCAACTGTGCGATTAAAAATTAGGGCAAACCCAAACACGATATAAATCAGAGTAAAGCCTCACAAATTAAAATACATACATATATTGACGTGAATTAGAATCGCGAAAATAAGCGCCAGAAAATGTCTGCCAGCCAATGTGAGCCTGGTGCCGCGTGCCTGATTGCGGACAGTGTCAGCCCGGAGCTGCTGGTGCTGCAGCCGCTATTCAATGGCAACAACGTGCATGCGGAGGAACAGGAGGGACTGCTTCATCTACCTCGAATCGCAACCAAAAATAATCTTTTGAAGCTCAACTGGTGGCATACGCCGCCGACACAGCACCTCGTCGACATCGAAGCCTCAATCCTCAGCACAACAGATCAAAGTCTACCAACCAATTTGAACAACAATAACACGGCTACCCGAAGCAGCCTCAATACGCCGGCGAAGTCAACCTCCTCCCCGCCTCACCATCATCGTTCAAATGAAAGGCATCCGAAGCACAAGGACAGCAGCTCTATCGTTGATCCGGCAGAAGATTTCGATCTGCAGGACTCACAGCTACTCGCAAAGGGTGCGTAAATGTTATATTTATTAATCATTTATTTGTGTCTTTCTGATTGTATATATTTGCACTTCATACACACGGCTCTACCAATCGTCTGTCTAATTTGTTTTATTTATTTGAATGAATGCTAAAAACATTTCTACATAAAGGTTTGACGAGTCAGAAAATGTATAAAGCCCCAAGACCGGGCAAATATATCCATATGTCAAAACAATTGACCAAGGCCAGGTTAGGCATACATATAGCGCATTTTATACCTTATATTAAAAAAAAAACTTTTACAATTTGCGGAAATTGGCAGTTGGACGAGGGAGGAAATAGACCTGACATTGTGGTAAATAGTATTGAAATATATTGATGGTTTTATTGACCTTTCCATATTTTAGAATATTCGTTGACTGGCTCGAGGTCCGGGCTTGTAAAAACAAACATTAAAACAATTTTATTTAATTTTTGTTTCTGATATATTTCGGTTGCACATCGGTAAACCGTCTTTAGGGGAAATTTACACAATATATATATTTATTTATATTTACACAAGTATATATAAATCGAGAAAGAAAGGCTATCTTCGGCACGCCGGACATCTAATACCCTTGCAGACCCAACCTTTTCATAATGCTTATAGTGCTTTGCCCGTATCTAAGAATCACAGGAAAAATAGTAAATAAATGCCGTGTTTAGTCAAGATATATTGATAAACAAAAAATTTTTTTTTAATCAAAAACCTAGTTTTCGACCCATCGTTCCTATGGCAGATATAAAGGCAGAAATTAAGGGAGCATAGTGAAATCTTTTAATGCCGTGTTAAATCAAAATTTCTTGACAAAAAACTTTTCCATACAACCATTTAATTTTCGACCGATCGTTCCTATGGCAGCTTTATGATATAGTGGTTCGATCTAGCTGGTTTTGACATGTGTGCTGCGTGCAACAGAAAAAGGGACTTCTACAGAGTTTCATTAAGCTTTAAAACTGAGAGACTAGGTCGCATAGAAATAGACAGACGGACATGGCTATATCGACTCGGCTGTTAATGCTGATCAAGAATGTATGGGCGGAGATGTCACACATTTCACGACAAAATCATAATACCCTCTGAAAGAGTATAAAAACGGGAAATATTTATTTATATTTATATTAAAAACACAAAAAGAGCAGTTGATAAAGCGTTTTATTTGTTTCGAATAATATTTAAATCTTGGTAACTGCAGAGCGGCAGAAATCAGATGTCACGATTAACACCTCGATTCGACACAAGGTCTTAAGTTCAACAGTTGAGAGGGGTCTTCAGGTCGTGAAAGCGTTTCCATTCCGTGTACAATGCAAAGATGAAATCACAAAAACGTATAATCTCTTCGTTCGCTGTTTTTGTATATTACATATGAAGAAGTATTTACCCTTCGTCGGCAGCGAACCGGTTTGTGTAATGTGTACTTAAAAATATATTTTTAGTTTAGTATACTAAGCTGCGTCTACCCATGTACCGTACTCTCTTCCCGCACGCAATCCATTAACATTAACAGTAACATTGACATAGCAGTACTGTTAGTCATGGCTACCGAGATCCTTTACCCAGACATTCACATCGTGAGGTCATTTAACGAGATAGTTGTCCCCACTTTGATCAGTTATTCTATTAGAAAATTGTGTATTCTAATTAGCACTTAATTTTTATACTCTGAACCCATTAAAAATGGGTATAAGGGTATATTGTATAGCTTCTAAAATAAAATATATATATGCATTTGATATTGAAGGAAGAGGGTTCAGGGTATCCCCTAGTCGGGAGCTCCCGACTAGAAACTCTTACTTGTTATAAATTGATATATTGTATATTTTTGGAAGTCTTGATTTTGTCGACCATTTAATAAATAAATAATAATTGCCGCTCAATCAAGTAACTAAGAAAATGCATGCTAAGAAACTCATTACACTCGTTGCTCGTGTTAATATTCGTATTTAATTTAATTTAAAAGAGTGTAATTTAATTTTGATATCCCAAAAGATTCAGAGCAAAAAGAAAAGGTTATTATTATTGTGTTAACTTGAATTCCATTTGTATTTGCTTTTTGTTTTTATTCATTTATCAAATTAAATACATAGCACGTATAAATATACAAATTCTGCTGCAGTTGAACCTACGACCTCTGGGTTGGGAGTCCGACGCTCTGACAGCTAAGCCTCACAGTTTGATCAAAGACAATATAAACACTAAGATGAGTAACGCCATACAACAAAATGCTACTATGCAGCTTGATTTTTTGAAAATTGAGAACGAAAACGAAATCTGTAGCATTGCGCTCTCACAGCCGAGAGAACGAAAAAGCTAAAAATAGAATTTGCTCTCAGCTTCGGCTCTATGAGGGCCGTGCATGCAATTATGTTTGTATGCGTGGGAATATACATATGTACATACATAACAGCATATTTGAATGTGTTGTTATCCACGGCTCTGGCAAAGTCTCTGGCTGGCAAAGAAACATTTTTCTTAGTTTTTTAGCACAGATCACCTAACCAAAATTTCTGTTGATATATGAATGCATTTTGTGTACTCCGTACAAAAAAAATTGTATTTTTAAGTCGATGCAAATATTTATGTAATTTTTTATATTTGAAATTATTAATTAAATTATTATTTTTTCAAAGATACATTTAATTATTTTTTTTTTTTATTTTATTATTTTTGTTGTTCGAATTATAAAGAACAAAGTACGCAGGGAACACCGCGAGGAGACCATTATAATTATAATGGGGTCATAACTAAATCTGACCTTCGGGTATTTTCTGCGGAGCCAACCTTAGTACACAAAATGCATTCATATATCAACACAAATTTGGGATAGGTCATGATCTGCGCTAGAAAACTAACAAAATTAATTTCTTGCCATCTAAAGCTAGAGCAGTGAATAACAACACATACATACATACTTTAAAGATCTTATGCATGTATAATTCACGCATACAACGAAAGGTGCACGCATGCTATTGGCTGAGACAAGAACTTTTCTCGAGCATACACTGTCCAAAAAGAAAAGTGAAATCAATCTATGTGTGCTATTTTCTTAACATAGTTATTGCGCAAGAAGCGCCTTGTGTAAAAATTATATAAGTTCTTAAAGTTTCATGTAAAATTAATCGTTAATATCTAGGGTAATATATCATTTAAATAAAGCATGAATTTCATGGATAAAGCACAAGCACAGTGCGTCGATCGTAAGTTCTAAACTTTTTCGCTCAATGTACTTCGAAAACGAAGCGACGCAAAGCAGCATCGACAAGCTTTGCTGAAGGAAGGCTGGCGACTTACTTCGTAGCTCGTGTCAGCATCAGCAAGCCACGACTTCGGCATTCGTTCGTCTGGTCTTTGGAGAACGAACAACCAGTCGGCAGGCATGCCGTACGAAGCCTCAAAGACCAGATGAAAGGCCAGGCCAGAAATTTTGCGTCGCATTCAAATGTATGGACGTTACTTATCTTAGTGTTTATATTGTATTTGGTTTGATGATGTTCCCCGTTTGCAAAGTTCAACTTTATGGTTTTGTCGATTTTTAAATTTGACGTAAAAACTTTGTTTTATCACAGTTCGGATAGTACTGGGTATCTCCCAATCTGGCAGCTTCGACTAGATCCCTTTTGTTGGTTTCGGGTAAAAAAAAATACAGTCGGTTTGTCAGGGCAAACTCTTCTTTCCTACAAACTCTGTTTTATTACAGCTGGGAATGTACGCAGTCTGTCAGCTTCGACCGGATCCCTTTCGCTGTACAGTCAGAGTCAGTCAAGGCAAACTCTTCTTCCTACAAACTCCGTTTTATCACAAATTTTAATTCAAATACAATTGAAAAAGTTATTTATATTTTCTATTTAATTCCCGAACTACTCTGTAAGTGGAATTGAACACTTGCATTTGCATTTGCATGTAATTAAGTTAAAGCACGCAGCGCGCAGCTGAGCAGTCAGCTGATTCCTCAATGTTACAGCTAGTGTTGGTAATTTGTTTGGCTGAGCTGGATTCGTAGTCAGCAAAGAACTAGTATTTTGCGCGCTTATATATAAACATATATATACTGTATGTCTTAGCTTAGTTACTTTTTAACTACAAACGCAGTAACCCTGAAAGTTGATTTACATTGTTAACTAAACGAATTGTAATTAAAAGCGCCTGACTAGGAGATATCCTCGTAAAGTGTAGCAAATATATTTATTAATTATATTGGGAGACCAATTGTTAAGGAATTCCCGGGCGTTAAGCTCAACTACATTTCAGTGCCCTATTTTAAACAGTTCTGACGAGATATTTTCGTGATTTTTCGATTTTTTTTTCAATGACAAGATATAATTTACCCTAGTAACTGCTAAGTGAAAAAATAAAAAGACCAATTGCACTTAAATTCATAAACACATAAATTTAAAATAAATATATACAACGATTAGCAGCAAGAAAAAATTCAACTTAGAAGCAATTAAATGGAATTCAAATGGCCCATTCAAAAAATATACAAATTAATAACGATTTGTAATCATACTGCGAGCATTGTGTGCGCGTCTCTGCTGCCGGCTCGCAGTCGTTCTTCGATGTCTGTGTGGTTCAGTTCAGTTGAGTTTTGTTTAGTTCAGTTCAGTTTTGAGTACATATTGATTTAAGTTAACGAAGCGCTTGCTATCGTAATCGGCTCTTGGCTTTACATTTCGGTTCGTGATACGGTTTCGGTTTCGAGTCTGAATAGCGACCGCAATTTGATATTCGTGCGTTGACATGGACGCTACAAGATTAAGTGAATTATGTACATATATGTGTGCTTACACGCGTCCGTAAGTACATATGTACGTATGTGTATATGTATGCCCGACACATGAACATGGCTATAAAATATTATCAAAATTTCTTATAAACTGTGGCTAAGACTACAAAACATTTCATCGCAATTTCTTGCTAGGCTGTCAATATAGCAACAGGTGCTTGTCCACACATGCCAGTACAATTTTAAACGTACAATATTTGGGTGTCTGTCAGGCATGAGGTCGGCCATTCGGCCACTGAGCATCCATTTCGGACCAGGGCGAGTGAATTTATGAAACACAATATATGTATATACATACATATGCATGTATATAAATACATGTATTTATATATGCGTGTGAATAATGTGTATATGTGTGTCAGTGGGTAACGTCATGCCACGCGTGAGCCATTCCTCTTTCCCAAGTGTTTTATTATTTATAAAGACTATTTGATTAATTAATGTGTAAAAAATATATGTTGTGATCTCTCCACTATTGTTTTATACACTCTTTGTGGTTCTTTTCAATGTTATCAACTCCCATACATTACGCTCTTGCATACAATAAATGTATTAATTGACGCATATTGTTGATTAATTGTCCATGCGTGTGTGAAACAATGGTTCCTTAAGTGGTCGCTGCTGCCATTGTGTGGGTAGTTCTCAATTTGATTAGTTCTTTTCATTGTACTTTCGTGTATTATTTATTGAATATGAACATGAATTTTTAAACTTGCAAGGGTATTCGATTGCTTATTTACTGTTAACGGCACCTTGGCTAAAAACTAAAACAAAAAAAAAACACACACACACATGCAGAAGCACAAAAGGCGCAGCAAAGCCACGCTTATTCATACACACGCACATATTCATAAGAACATTGGCATTCGCAGCTGTCATGCGGTTGTGCAATTGTGAGTATTATTATATCCCTATAAAGAAATAAAATAATTTAGCAAAGCAAACACACAAGACGTTATTTCGAAAATTCTAGAGGCAAACAATTATGTACATTCGGCGTCGTATAACCCGTCGTATAAAGGGTCGACGTTGTACAAATGCACGTTTTTTTCTTATCACTCGAATTTTATCTTAGTACCAATGCCTTTTGTCGCAATGTTGCTTTTTGTGATGTTTAAGTGCCGACACTCCAATTGCCTCGTCCGAGTCCAATTGCCAATTAAATAGCTCAGCCGGGTCGTAGAAGTACTCCCATTCTTTTAAATGTACTGTGTGTGCCTCGTCGGTGGAGTGGGTGGGGGGGTTGGTGGGGTCGTGTGAGCTACTTATATGTATGAACAAAGGAAAGAATAGAATTTTTAGCGAGAGTATACTTTATGTAATGAATAAAGATGACAATCCGAAAAGCGGGTTTAAATTAAATGTTGTGTGCCATATTGCAGACATTCCTGAAAAGACAACGCTCAAATTTTAAGCTAAACTCTGATGATGAACTGCGAAGTATTGCGAGGTATGAGACAAAACCCAATAATAAGATTGATAACTGGTGAATGGTGTGCATATGTGTATGGTTGGGCAAATATATTTACATTTGTCCAAATTGTTATTGCCACAGCAGCATCATTAAATTCTCTTTGCATTATCCTTTGTTTACTTACAGATCCGAAACCATGCGTCGCACTTCTCAACCAAGATCAGTCAGATCAAATGAAAATAAGCGGTTACCGGCGCTCCCATATCCGTTCGATATTGTGCTGGATCTGCATAGTGTTAACTGGAGGCCTGTTGCGCCTTGTCCTACATTGGTGGCGGCATTGGTATCTGCTTGCCACATGCAGGCCGTGCTCCTTGCAGGAGGCACAACAGGTGCTCATAGAAGAAGACTATCAGGGTAATCACAAACTGTATCATGTCAAGAGCGTGCAGATACTGCATGTGGAGCAGTTCAAGTACGTCTTTTCGAAAATTGTTTATTTAATATATATGTATTAATATTAAGTACTCTTTTAGAAAATTATTGCAGCAAATATTGCCAGGAGAGGATTTCGATGATAATAAGCTACAGCTCCCAGTTCACTTTGCTTCCGCGCATTTCAAAGGTAATTCAAAATATTTACAGAAAACAAATATGAGTATATAAGATTAGTATTAGATTATACTCAAAAGCTAGGATTTTTAATTAGTATTTGTATTAAAAATGTAGTTTGTAATCAATATATTGACTAGGCTAGAGGATCTTCTTTGTAATTTTTTATTAATTATTTATTTTTGGTTTTTATAATAGACTTATTCTTAATCTATTTGAATATTGTATGGCACATCTAATAAACTTTTGCTTTTTTAGGTTTTCGATCCTTGAGAACATTTCGTTGCAAGCAGCTGGTTTATGCTTGGGACAACAGCATTAAAAACTTTAAGAAAATCAATGGATTAGACGTAAATGTGCCTTGTTCTTATTACCATCAGCAACGTGGACTATCTGTGCAAGAACAGCTGGCACGCCGCATTGTATTTGGGCAAAATGAGATAACCGTGCCGCTGAGGGATGTGAAAACCCTGCTCTTCCTGGAAGTTCTTAATCCCTTTTATGTATTCCAAATATTTTCTGTCGTCCTGTGGTTTACCTATGACTATTACTATTATGCCTGTGTCATCTTGTTAATGTCTATATTCGGCATATCTATGTCCATTGTGCAAACAAAGAAGGTGAGATATTATGACAAAGTTATTATTAAAGTGTTAGCAACTGTACCCATATCTGATTTCAGAATCAAGATGTTCTGCAGAAAACAGTTTTAAACACGGGAAATGCATGGGTCGTTAACGCCAAGGGAGTATCTGTGGAATTGTCTACGAAAATGTTAGTGCCTGGCGATATTATTGAAATACCATCGTCCGGCTGCACAATGCAATGCGATGCCGTTTTACTTTCCGGCAACTGCATCCTAGACGAATCAATGCTGACTGGCGAAAGTGTGCCAGTTACTAAAACGCCGCTTCCGATGAAGCGCGATGTGATATTTGATAAAAAGGAACATGCTAGGCACACACTATTCTGCGGCACGAAAGTAATACAAACACGATACATTGGATCCAAGAAAGTTTTGGCCTTCGTGATAAATACTGGCAATATAACTGCCAAAGGTGGCCTAATACGCTCCATTCTTTATCCACCGCCTGTGGACTATAAGTTTGAGCAGGATTCGTACAAGTTCATACAGTTTTTGGCGCTAATTGCGTGCATTGGCTTTATATATACGCTTGTCACCAAGGTGAGTACGAAATATATGCAAATATATATTATTTACGGCTCATGTTTATTTAATGCTATTTTTAGATATTGCGTGGTACAGATGCTGTTAAGATAGTGGTCGAATCTTTGGATCTTATAACAATTGTTGTGCCACCAGCCTTGCCGGCAGCTATGACTGTTGGTCGGTTTTATGCCCAGAAACGATTAAAAGCCAACAATATCTTTTGCATATCTCCGCGCTCCATCAACGTGGCAGGCAGTATTGATTGCTGTTGCTTTGATAAGGTACGTCTGCCAAGATAACGAAAAAATAAATGTTAAGGCTTTATTCAATTATTTCCATTTTATTCAGACTGGAACCTTAACGGAGGATGGCCTAGACATGTGGGGTGTCGTTCCAAAGTCTTCCACAAATCAGTTTCAAATACCACTGAAAGATGTGAAGCGTCTGCCATACGATCACTTTCTGTTTGGCATGGTCACATGCCACTCAATTACCGTCATGAACGGCATGATGATGGGTGATCCCTTGGATCTTAAGATGTTTGAATCGACAGGCTGGATACTGGAAGATTCCAACAACATACCCGAAAACGAGAAGTACGGCCTGATCTATCCGACAATATTACGGCAACCGAATCAAGAGGAAATCAACTCAAGCTTAGCTTTCACACATCATGAAGCGGTAATAACAGAGGCGCCACCACCCGTATTTCGGCAGAGTTCGGTGGATGATCTCTTGGCCAATATGGGATTGTTGAAATCAAAAACAAATTTCGATCATGGAATTGTTAGGGAGTTCCCATTTACATCCAACTTGCAGCGTATGTCAGTCATCACCCGCTGCCTCAGCGCGCAAGGCTTCAACGTTTACTGCAAGGGCTCGCCCGAAATGTTGCAGCAGTTGTGCCATCCACAGAGCATACCGAACGACTATACCCATCAGCTCTCCATTTATGCCAAAAAAGGTTTCCGAATTATTGCCGTGGCATTTAAGACACTTGATCCAAAGGTGAACTACACAAAGGTGCAACGCCTTTCGCGCGAAGAGGTCGAGCACAATTTGGAGTTCCTCGGATTTGTAATACTTGAGAATCGCCTAAAGCCCGATACAACGGCTGTTATAAATTCACTAAATTTGGCAAATATTCGCACAGTTATGATTACGGGTGATAACATATTGACAGCAATGAGCGTTGCTCGAGATTGCGGCATTGTTAGTTCCACGCAGGCGGTAATCACAGTGCATGCGGTGCCCGTGTTGAAAGGCTTTGATAAGCTAAATACCGATCAAAATGGCCAATATGAACTACAGTATACTCTCGAGCTGGGCAGTCAGACGTGCACGCCAGCTCTCAATGGTAATAGAACATTTTCGGCTGCTGAAATCGCTCTGGATATGGATCTATCAAAGTCAACCAATTCATTGGTAAATAATGGTGGCTCGAGCTGTGCCTCAAGTGTGTTGCCCAACAGCAACAGCTTGGCTAGTGTTAAGACCATCGACACATGGACGCACAATGACGGCGATGATGTGGAGCTTGGAGCGACAGTTGTGGCACGAAATGATAGCTGGCGTCGTCAATATATATTCGCCATGGATGGCAAGACATGGCAAATTGTTAAGGACCAATTTCCTCAACAAATGGAAATCATATTAACGCGCGGTGCTATCTATGCACGCATGTCGCCAGAGCAAAAGCAATCGCTGGTGATGGAGCTACAGAATCTTGACTATTATGTAGCAATGTGCGGAGATGGGGCTAACGATTGTGGTGCCCTAAAGGTAGCGCACACTGGAATATCGTTGAGCGAGACTGAATCCTCAATAGCATCACCGTTCACCTCCCGTAATCCGACTATTGCGGCCGTACCAAATGTTATCAAGGAGGGTCGCGCAGCCTTGGTTACATCATTTGGTATTTTTAAGTATATGGCTGCCTATTCCCTGGTACAGTTTGTGTCCGTGATGATCCTATACTCAATCGACTCGAATCTTACCGACAAACAATATCTCTACATTGACCTTGGCTTGATATCGATTTTCGCATTCTTCTTTGGCAAAACTGAAGCCTACGATGGTCAGCTGGTTAAACAAGTGCCTCTTAGTTCCCTCATTTCGCCAACGCCTTTAAGCTCGCTTGTGCTCCATTTAGCCGTTGTGGTCATATTCCAGGTCGCCGGTAAGCTCAATCGCAATACTCTTAACATATATTTGTGCCTTTTACTGATTTTTCAATTGTTTCAGGTTGGTTTCAACTGCATCAACAGCCTTGGTTTAAGCCTTTCGGGCCATCTGACGAGCATCATTTGGGCTGCTATGAGAACTACACCATGTTTGCCATATCGAGTTTCCAGTATATTATACTTGCATTTGTATTTTCAAAGGGAGCACCATACCGAAAGCCAATCTGGTCGAATTGGCCTCTATGCCTGACCCTGGTGATAAATGCCTGCATTGTCGTATACCTAGTTGCCTATCCAAGTGATTGGATTGCCAACTTCTTTCAACTCATCGTGCCACCGGATATGTCTTTTCGTTACATTATGCTCCAATATGGAGCAGCTGCATTTATCACTCATGCATTTCTCGAGGCTTTTGTGGTGGAGTATTTGGTATTTAAGCGATTCCAGGTGCGACGGGAGCAAAACTTAAAAACATCAAATCGTAAATATATGCGATTGGAGTATAATATTAAGTCCTTTGACAACTGGCCGCCCATAACGGAGGTCTATGATCTGCACGATCCAGCCGACCAAGGAGCGGAGCTACAGCCGACATATGTTAACCTAAGCGCTGAACAAAATTTGGACGGTCAGCCCAGCGGTTTTCCTGGCTTTTTCGAGACGTCTGAGCATAGCGTAGAAAACCGACATCGCATACACTCAGAGGTATCCAGTGCGAGTCCACGGCACAGCTGAAGTCCAAAAATAATGATGAGGAGATGTACTTACATTTTGTATATACATTTATGCATGTACATACATTTTGTGCATTATACTATAAGTTTACATAGGCTACATATATTAAGTATATGTTTATTGATAAACATATAGACACTGTTATTTTTGCTAATTTGTACCGTTAATCGCATTTTATCGCGCATGTTAATAGGTATTTCCAATGAAATTTTACTTACTATGTACTTATCTGGTTAAATGCCTTCATAGATAATGTTCTGTCATTTAGAAAATCGGAGGTGTTAGGGGTGTGTTAAATACATAATTAAACACCTTTGCATTAGTTCATCTGATTGGGTGAAGTTTATGCAACGGATATATTGATTATTACACTAGACTACAGAGAAACAGCTGCTGCGTACGCACTTATGTACATAAGTTGCCATTTGTAATTAATATTTATTTTGTAATGTATCTATACTGTAGCCTATCAAATTACTACTGAATAAGTATTCAATAAAAACGTTTTGTAAATCCGATTTTGTTCGGGCTTAGTATATATTTCTAACAAGCCTACACCAATTTTTTATACCGATTCAGTTAGTGTGGACAATTTTATAAATAGAGATGTGATGTCAAAAATTTGCTTGTTACATAAAAAACCAAATTTACGTACATAAATATTCGTAGAGTATCCGCACACGTATACACATATACATACATAGTAGCTGTATAATAAATATAAGTATGCCTGTCTGAGTAAGGCTGTGTGAAATTCATTAAAGAAAATATGCATGTGTAACGTTATTTGGTTTATAGTATAGATCGTAGTAAGGTTTAGGTGAAGCTATGCTGACATTTGCAGATTTGTCCAGTATATGTATATATGTACATATATTCATCTGTGTGTTCCACTCTCCCGAAAGCCAAACTGTTTGACTGGCTGGCAAGTATCTACTTTGGCCCACCTGAACCAGCCAAACAACTTTTGCGCATGCGCGCAAACGTTGATACAGAGAAACACAAAAGCTAAAAGCAATAACATACGCGGACGCGACACAAGCGTCTTCTTCTTCTTCGGTTGTTGGCGGACTCGTGTTGGGTTGAGCCAGCAACTTGTTGTCTTTGCGCTGGCCAAGTCAGTTCTGTGGCTTTCGTCTGCATGGAATGATCGTGAGCGCATCAGAAAAGCGTTAGCATATGTACGTATAGGTGTTAGGTGTATTTGTGTGTGTGTGTGTGTGTGAATATATGCAAATTTCAATATATGTACATACATATATTCGATTTCTTGTGCTAGTTTCCCATCATCGTGTGATGTGCCAATAATTGTTCCTGCTCGTAATCTTTACCAAAAAGTGTGTACCAAATAATACCTATTAAATAAAGAAAGGGTTATACAAGTATGCCCGTACATTTTTGTTCATGTAATATTCATGACAGAGCGGAGGCAATATTTTTGCAACATTTACATTAACATAACTGCATATGTGTATGTATGTATGTGTGTGTGTGCGTGTGTGCAGACGAAGACCCAACAACTTGTTAATCGTGAAATGTAAAAACATAATAAGGAACGTTGCGGACGGGTGCAAATGACTGCGCAGTACCCTGTTATAATTGTAATAGCAGTTAATGGCAGAAAACGGTTAATAGATTATATTGCGATGTGCGGGATCGGGCATGGGTGTGGCAAAATTGTTAACATATGTCTACTATATCCGGGTCTCTACGTTAGTATTGTTGAAACTAATATACTCTTAATTTTTCTTGACAGAGTATAATAAAAAATCAAGTTTTGGAACTCCATATGCTGCTGTACAATAAGATCCAAACAAGAAAATTGAGTGGCAACAGTGAACTAAAATTCCAATCTTTGACAAAAAATAAATACCAACCGATACGGGTTTAATAAATGCTACAAAGTTAACATATTTATTCACATTCAGATTTTGGAGAAAACTGATCACACATATGCAGATGTAGGCCCCAAATTTATGTCTGCATAAATGAACATATGTGTAATGTGTGCTAGTCCCGTAAATAAGCGACTAGAGGAGCCAAATATGCTACATCTGTTTATTTCCGCATCAAATATACACGGAACGAGAATTCGCCAGGAAGGCGGTGCACGTAGTCGTGTTATATATATTCTGAAAATGTCCGATCAGCCACTCTGTCGGAGCCTGTGCCTATTGATGTTAGTCATCGCTCTGATGGCAGCGCCACCCTTGGGATCTGCGCAAGCACATGGTAAGTTATGGTTTTTAATTCAATGGGAATTATTAATATGATGCTCTATTTAGTCACCCGGGAGAATGTAGGCAGTAGTCGAGGGTGCCCGGCTACACAAGTTTGGCTTATTTTTCTTGTTCTGCCTGTTACATATGTATGTTCTCCCACAACAATATACCGCTTTTATCCATTTTAAGGTACAGGGTATGTGTATTATATGTGTATGTATATTGGACTAATAATCGCCAAAACATGCAAAGCATTGTTCGCATAATTATCTGGAATTCATAAAAAGCATTTATATAATAGTAGCTGATATGTGTAGAAGGATAGTAACGTCACATTATCATTACTCTAGCAGCAGGTCCCATGTAGGTAACAGAGTATGTTAAGCATTAACAATAGTATACAATGGTTAACAGAAGTAGACACGGTTAGTCTAGCGAAGGTTGGGACCATGTAGGTAACAGAGTATGTTAATCATTAGATCTGTGAGACTACAGCAAGAATAGTACAGACCTACATTGGATTTAAAAACAAGATACATACATTTTATTGGTTTGAGCAAAACAAAGCCCACGCATAGCTGAATATGGTATATCATTTAATATCTCATACCATTCATTGTGAGAAGATACCAAACATAAAACGAATTCGGCAAAACATGTTGTCTTTATATATTTGCATAGTAGATGTTTTTACACACCTGTAAGGTTTACGTAAGGCTTCTTTGTTGCTAAACAGCCGTAAAGAATATATATGCTATAAGCGGTTACATACATTTACTCAAAACCAATATACTATCGCTTGTCCATTTTCAATTGGTACAGGGTATATAAAGACGGAAGAGAAAGCTACTTGAATTGTGTGTTTGATGATGTTAAAAAGTTAAAAAAAAATCAATAATATTTCGTACGCTTTTAATTTTGTATTTGAAAGAAAATAAGCCAATAAATATATCGCAGCAAGACCTTTTGATTATTATAAAACATTCTCATTTGAAATGTAATAGCTAGATAAATGTCATTGGATCTGGTAACACTGTCGACGTCCTCTGATACGTCCGTTTTACTGTTAAGGCGAATGCCTGATCAGTGATTGGGCTAGTTAGAGCAACTGCACAACAACATATTTAGTCTGAACACGGGAAAAACAAGAATTGAACTCGCGGCTGGAAGCTGATTTCACAACGCAAACAGAAGTAAAACGTACAATACATAGAGACACAGACACACAGCCTCAACATTGTCGGAATTATCATTCAAGAAAGGCGGACAGAGACCTGAACCGAAAGCCAAAGCAGCCTCAACAGACAGAAAATGTGGGTCATCGACAAATGAACAAGGCTTTCTTCAGCGTCATAAGAATATACATACATACATATATCTGGCTTTTATATGAGAGACATTTATCTTAAATTAACTCAAAACCACAAAAATGAATTAAACTTAGCAAATATCTGGATTATTCTAATTGCAAAACTTACGTATCTGATATTTGTAGGGGGGTTACTTAAAAATGTTCCATGATTATTATTACTTAAGTCTCTGTCCAAAAACTATGATATCACATAAGATGACATAAAAAAAAAATTCCAAAAATATTTAACATGCCAAGTTTGGTCACTCAAAATAGGAACTCTAAATCGATATTTATCGATTGCAGGATAATACAGGGGCTCAGGTTATCAGATTGACGAGTTCATAGCTATGCCAGTTGGCGGTTCGAGTCCTTTTGGGGGAACTACTTTTAATAAAAATAATTTGTTCTTCTATATATAAATGCTAAGGCAAATATGAGGACTTACGGTATCCCCCAGTCGGGCACTCCTCTTACTTGTTTTTCTTTGGCAAATATGCAGTTGCCGCCGCTTTGGGCAACATGTTCATGAAATTAACCTCTGTGGTGCGTTGTCCACTTTCTTTTTATTGATCAGCCGCAGCAGCCGAAGACGAAGACGAAGACGAAGACGACGACGGGTCGAAATGAAATCATTTATACCTATGTTTGTTGGCTTGGGGGAAATTTAACAATTCAAGGTTCGGCATTTCACTCAAACTAGTTCCAAGTTAACAATTGTTGCCCAGGTCCGGCTCCGGGTCGGGGTGTAGGGGAGAAAAGCGCTTTCGCTTTATTTGGTAAACTTCGATTTTGTATGTACATATATGTATGTAAAGAGTTTGTGGGTTGTCTTAAGTATTTAAGTAAACCAATTTAATCACCGAGCCCTTATATTTTTGCTAATTATTATTTTCGTATTTTCAGATGAGCCGTACATTGTTAAGCCAACGCCCATCTTACGTGCGACAGGTGCAGATGGTAAGCAGCATATGTACTTCATTTTCCAGAGATGACTTCAGTGTTAATAATGTCAATAAACCTAAGTAAATTGCTTGACTCGACTGATCAACTGATTGACTGACTGACTGACTGACTGACTGATTGATAATCAACGGATATCCCAAATGAAAAGAGCTTAAGGAAGGCGAGTAAGGGGCACTTTAATACGGGATTTTAGAAAATGTATTTAGTTAATAAATTAATTAATGAAATCTATGTAAGTTGCTTGACCCGACTCATTGACTGATTGACCGACTGACTAAGGGAGAAGATGAAAGGGGGGATTTTGGAAAATTTATTCAATTCATTTTCAAAGATCTTTGCTTTATGTCAACTGAGGGGCATTTTATGCTTTTCCTAAGACTCATCTCACAGTGGATGAAGTTTCAGGATTAAATACATTTCCAAGGATCTTTTTGAAAATTAATTTCAAAATTAGTTTGGTTTTAAATTTTATTATTTGAATAATTTTAATATTTATAATTTGAATATTTGTTTTTTCGTAAATATTCGTAAAATTTCAAAGATGATTTTCCAAATATCTTTGTAGAATATAACTAGGGCAGTTCAGAGAGAGTAATATGTGGGTAGATGTACATTTTTCTCGCTTGGGAAATGGCCTAAAAATATATGTACTTGGACCTGGGGACGTAGGCAAATACCAGATAATAAATATACTATACAAATATATATTAAATACATTTCCTATGCACTGTTACTAAGTTAATAGCCGAAACATTCAAGCCTGTTCCGAATATTTATACACCAAAAAGTGCATTGTAATCTATGCCTCCAGCTATATATGTATATATATTATGGTACATACATTAATCGGAACAGGTTTGACAGGCAAATATAGCTATAATGTTTTACGTATTTACTTCTTTTGTGTCACCTTTTCTTTATTTCTTTTTATGTAAATGATTTCACCATCTCTCTCTGCTGTACATTCTGGACATGTTGATTTAATCTCTTATTATTTATGTGTACTTTTACTTTGTAAATATTTGTAACAATTTATCCCTTTCAACATAATATCCTCTGTGCCTAATTCTCTATCAATCACCATCTGTGTGTGTGCTTGTGTATGTGTGTGATTGACATCCTATTAGATTTAACCACTGTGTTATTGGTAAATAACGACGGAGGCGGACGCCTCGGTGACAGTCACGGCCGATTTCTGTCGGTTCGTCCAGAAATCGGTCTTCTGACCTCAACCGCACGCACCTTTATCCAAGAGGGGGTCACAACTGAATATGCGACCCAGGTCGTGGGCACCACCCTAAACAATGGTCGTCTGTATGCCCAGTACCTGAAGAAGAGCTCGCGGGTGCTCTTCGAAAATCGTCAGATGTCGCCATCTGTAGTTACTAGTTGGGTGGGCGAAGGTGATCCCCAAACTCGCTCCTATCTGCAAAGCCACAATGATCTGCTCGATGCTGAAGCGCCGGATTGGCGGGAAATCGACGATAGGTTAGATCATCAATTTGTTGGCAATACGGATTATATTAAGCTTGGGCACGCCAGTCAATTGATGGAAGCTTCCACTGCTTCCGCCTTTGCGTCGACGGAACCAGGGAAAACTGGTGAAGTGCAGCTTGTGGCCAACTTCGGACGTATGGATGACAACGCCCTGAAAGTGGCTGCGCATAAAGTTTTGCCAATCGGCGATTTGCCAACGTTTACAGTCAAGAATCATTTTGAGCCAAGCGCATATCAGACAAGCGAAGGCGAAATAAAATCACAATCTGTTGGCGAACTATTTGCTCAGACAGAGGAAGAAGGACGCTCCGCAAAGGTTTACTATCAAGATCTAATGCAGGATGGGAAAAATGAGAACTCTCTATCGAACCTCCAATCTGAACGTGCCCCACCTAATGTGGCAAAGAGCGTTCCGTCAACTGTTACCTACTATGGATTTGCCGAGTTTACAACACTCGTGGGCGATAGTTTAATTGTTTTTCTACCTAGCACTGCCCAGCCCAGTTCCGTTGTGGGCCACGTCACATCCATCAAGGGCATGGCTACACTTAGAATCAGCGAGGTTCAACCGCAGGTTGCCAGTCAAGAAAACCTTCTTGCCTCAAAGACGGCAGACAGTAAAACATCCAGTACAACCATAAATCCGTGGGCTGTCTTTGTGGACGCCACGGAGACAATGTCAACGGACAGCAGCATTTCGCCGACGACTTCAGAGCTAATAATGTCTGAAATTGGACAATTTTCAACAGCAACACCTACTCTTGATTTGACAGCAAACGAGAAGGTTGTCGAATCGAGCGATACAAAGCCAATGTTTTCATTGCCAACGGACCAAGAAATTCAGGAAATCTACGCGTCTCTGGCCAAAGCTGAAGCAGCGTCTTCTCCTTATCCTTCTCCCTCACTCGTATCCGTATCTGTCGAAACAGTGAAACAGATACATCTTCCAAGCGTCCAACCGGATGAGACCCTTGTGCCAAGCATCCAACCGGATGTATCAAGTCTTCAGGTGCACGGAGGAGCAACAACGATATTCATTGACGACGATCCCTTTGCTAATTTTGTAGAGCCCACTTCTGTGTTAACTATTGAGTCCACGGCAACGACAGCGACAGCAGAAATCATTGCCAAACCAACAGCCGCATTAAAGGAGAAGGATACGACTTCATATACAAGTACCGATGAGTCAGAAGAAGAAGTGTCGACAACAACGATTTCAGAGGCTGAAGAAAACTCAACTCAAAACTCAACCACCCTCAGGTCACAGCTGCCCGAAGATACAACAGATCCTGCACCTCCTTCGCCGTCGCCTATACCAATAATTAGGGAAATAAGTGGCCCAGATGAAGGGCAGTGCGCACAAATCAACTCACAAGTGTTCTTGACGCAAATTCCAAAGTCGAACACGATTTTAAACACGCAAGTAGTACAGTATCAAGAGCATATTCCATTTGACATAAAGGAGACAACTAAATATTACTGCATAGAAGCGACACAGGCGATTGAATCACCACAACTGGAGAGGCCCACACAGACGTCACTTGTGCCAGATGCGTCGACTTCGCTGCCTGCAATAACGGTGCCATCAGTCCAAGAAGAAACAACCACAGTGGAGACACAGACCGAGGTTGTTGAGGAAAGCTCAACCGAGGCGGAGATAGAGCCAGAGACGGAGTCGGCGGAAGCGGTTATTGATGATGATTATGTTACCGAGTCTGACAATACTCATCTAATTGATAATGATAATGATAATGAGGATTACGATAATGATAGCGGCTCGGACGAAGTAGATCTTATATACAAAACCCTATACACAACCTACACGTATCTGACGACCTTTTTCCAAGGCCCATCCACAACTATCTCTAGCCATACGGAAATTGTTACCAATGTGGTTAGCTCTACACGCGATGACGATAAACATCTGAGCACGAAATCAACGGATATCGTTGATAATGAAATCTCTGCCACTCGAACTCAAAATGTAGACGCACAGAACACAGCTATGGCAAAGACGATACCCTCGAAATATATGATTCCCGATGAACTAGAGAGCTTATTGTATGTTAGTGCCAACGATCAGCCCAGCTCAACGGATTCCAATCAACAAACCAGCTATCTTGATGATACGAAATATACAAAAACATTCTTTACAACCTACACATATTACACGACAATTTTCGCTGAGAGCGAAACCGAGATAATGTCACGTACTGAGGTCTTTACAAATTACATTACCGAACTTGGTGCGCCCAAAAAATCGACACCCAACGATATACTGCCATCTTTAACGTGGCCAGCCATATCCCTGTCCGTGTCGGAAACCACATTTAGTACGGCAAACCCTGTTTCCGAACAACTTAATCTCAATAACGACGAAGGGGATGGAGAAAAACATGTTACACTGGTAACCGATGTTCGATCGAGCAGTTCCAATGGCGAGCAACAAGTTATTGGCGGCAAAATTGGGGCTGACGATCAGGTTAGTTCCGAGAGCAATACGGAAGAGATCCTGCCATCCGCAACGCTGCTCCTTCAGACCAGTTTTACAACCTTTACCTTTTACACAACAATGTATGTGTCGGATAGCACGAACGTCGTGAGTCGACTCGAAACTGTTACTAATATCGCCACAGAAACCTTACAGCCAACAAAGGTTTTGAGCCATGAGGAAACCACGCTGCCGATCACATATTTCACCACATTCACTTATTGGACCAAATTGGCCAAGGACGGAGAGATCACCACAATTAGCAGAGAGGAAACCATATCGAATGTGATCGAGCCTTCAAATCGTGTAGCCCTTGGCTCTGATTACAGCTCAAACTCAATTTCGGACTCGAGTTCAATGTTGTCGACAATACTACAGACAAGCGTTGGCTCGAATAATGCGATAAGCACAAGTGAAACTAATGTATCAGAGCTGACAACCTTCTATACCACATATACGTATTATACTACCTCATATGAAGCTAATAAAACTGTGACAGATTCTCGCTTTGAGACAATCACAAATGTGATAACACCCAAAAGCGATCCAATTGCAACCTCAGCGGTAGATATAGAACCGTCAATACCAAAATCTATTGCAAGCAGCGCCTCAGAGACCACGGAAACACAGGATAGCAAAAAGAATGATTTGATATTCTACGATTATAAGCATATAATCGATGCAGAAGGTGTGAGCACCTTGTACTTTACAACTCAAATCCAATCAACGGTCGACGCTGAGGGTAAAGCCATTGAGGTAACCAGCAGCACGTCCAGCTTGTCTATCGACGAGGAGAAGAAAATTAATTTGGCCACGGCGCTGGCAAGTGAAGGGACGACAGATGAGAGCTCAGCTTCTGCTCGCCAATATAAAACTGGATTGGTTCGATTAATCGAGGGAACGCGAATCGGAAATAGTACCACGACCCTGTATCAGTCCAAGGTTATTGGCACCATCATAGACAGTCGCTATGCGCAGATTATCGAGAGCACATCCAGTTTCATCTTCGAGAAGGCCATAACAGCTGCCAGCGTGGTACCAAGTGCAACAGTTGAGGAGATGATGATCAGCAGCACGCAGAGCGTCAGCCTCCTGCAGTCTGTGGCTCCAGTGGAGGGCAGCATCGCTGGCGAAGGTGTTACCGAAGATCCAAATCAAGAGGAGGAGCATGATAATGCTCGACTAGCGTTTCAGTCTAAAAAGCGAACGTTTGCGCCCGTGATTAGACCTTTCGCCTCGCGTAACAGGCCAACATTTGCGCCAAGGCACAAAACTCTGAGTCCAAGCAGTGCAACAATTATAACAAGATCCGACATAACACCAACAATAACAGCAACTCCTGCTCTCAAATCCGTGGGCAGATATAGTTCATCTCGGAGGGGTGCTATTTCCAATGTCCCAAACAATCCGCTTGACAATGGTCTGGCATCATCAACATCGTCAAGACGTCTATTCGGACGCCCAATAAAGCCGTCGACCGGCTCCGGAGTTAGCCAGAGTACGGGAAGCACACAGCAAGCGAGCCTAGGTTTTGCGTCCAGGAACCGTTTTGCGTCCTCATCACGTGCTGCCCCGATATCTAGCTCGAGGCGTCTTAGTATAAATGCTTCCTATCGCCCGTCCAGCAGTTCCAATTTTCGTGCTTCAGCCCTGAATGTTGCCAACTCCAAACAACGCATTAAGCCAACCTCACTGAACGGCCAATCTATTGCGTCAACGTTGGCTCCAAAGCAGGCCAGTTCAGATGGCATCGATGCCGACGAGGAGAGTTCCACGGAGGAGCAGACACAGGCCAATGAAGAAGATGAGAAAGCAGCGCAGAATTCCAGACGTAGCCAGAATCCATTGTTGCGCTTCCGTCGACCTCTTAATCGACCCAGCGGCTTCACGCCCACTCCACGTCCCAATGCCAGTCCGGCTCCCATTTCGCCCAGAAGGAATCCGTTGTCGGGGCGAGCCAAATCAACAACGACGACCACAACAACGACAACGACAACGGCTAGGCCACGTCCTCGTAGCTTCCAGCGACCTACCATATCCAGTCTTCAGGCACGAGCTAGGCCCCAAAGCAATCTCTTTCCGCCGCGTGGACTGTTCCAGCAGCAAAGGGAACCAGTGCCAGCAGACAATAGTGAAACAAATGATGCTGATAACGAATCCGAATACGATGATGATGAAGACGGAGAGCAGGCCGATGGAGATGGAGATGATGTGGAGAACGAGGCCAGACGCCGTCGCAGCTCCAAAGCAAATCCAACAATTCGATCGCGTAAACGCCGCCAGGCAGATACCCTAAACAGAAGTCGCTTTCGATTTCGTCGTCCTAAAACCGTGACAACCGAGGAGCCCATACCCGAAGAACTGCCTGAAACTTCGCCAAGCACAGCGCGTGCCAAAATCAATTCTCGCTTTGGATCCAGATACCAGGCCAAGCAATCGAGTACAAACACGCCGCCCACAACAAGCCATCGGTCGATTCGTCCCACAAGACCCACATCGCCACGTACACAGTTTACGCTCAGAGAGAAGGATACCACATCAAAGAGCATTAGTCGGCCGGGTGGAAGTTCCTCGAATTTTCGACGCCAGCAACAGCCGGCCATACGACGCAATCCCACTGTCTCCAGCTCCGCCTCTTCCAATTCCCGCCGACTAAAGAACTACAGCAATCATAATAACAATAACAATCTGGAGAGCTCCGGACTTCGTGCATCCAGCAATTCGCGCTCACGGAATGCCAATGCAAATGCTGTGACAAGGGGTCGAGGCACAATGCGCGGCAGGAATCGCAACGAGTACAGCTTGGAGACGCCGCCCCCGGAACTGGGATCAGTGACAATCACGGTTACGCATCTGATACCGGCGGAGGTGACGGTCCCCGTTGTAAACGGTCAGGTGACCGAATACAAAAACATTGTTACAGCCAAGACAAGCATCGAGGTACTGGGACCGCATCAGTACACCCAAAGTCTGGGCAACAATGGGCAGACGTCGCTGTTCCTAACCCGTGAGGATTCTAGTGTGAATGCAGCCGGTGCCACGGAGCTAACACGATATCTTCTGCAGGACTCCCTGACATCGACTGTCACATTTACGCCGACCACAATTCGCGGCAGGAAGACATCCTTCTCGCACGTTCTGCCCTCTACTGTATACTCGGTGGAAAACGTGATTTCCACGCTGCAGCCGCAGATAGCGGCAAATGCGCCGCTTGCGAATATTTTGCTGTCGCAGCTGTTATTGGGCAACATCAACTTGCCGAGCAATCCTCTTCTGGGCGCACTTGGCCAGCCGCAAGCTCTAGGCTTGGGCACGGGCACGGGCTCAGCGGTAGTGGAGCCAACGTTTCCAGTTACAGAATATCGCACCCATACGTCGACCTATGTAACCACCATATACGACGGAAAGTCCACAATTGTGCCGATCACTTTCCAAGGCAAAAAGATTTTAACAACCGTCTTTGATACGACGGCACAGACAATAACAGCCACAGAATATAGCGTGGACACAATCATAAATACACCGAGCCCGCAGACACAACAACAGCAACTGCAGCCATCCGGACAGGTGGCACAGGTGAACAGCCTTCTCCTGCAACAGTTGCTACTCCAACAACAGCAACAGCAGCAACAATTGCAGATACAGCTGCCGGCACAGATAATGCAGACGACGTCGCCGCAAATACTTTTGAGTGAGAATCTGCAGGATCTAGAGGAGGGAACAGGATTGGATGCCAACGATAATATCGATGATATCATAAAGCCAGCCATTGGCCATGATGATCATCACGTGCATTCCGGCAAGAACCGCAAAAAGACAAGAAAATCAAACAAGGGTCACAAGCGCAACAAGCAACAGTTGCCCCGAGGAGTATCAGGAGAGGAGGAGGAAAGTAGCGTGGTTACACTCTATGTCTCTGGCCGCAGGCCAGGTGAGTTCAGCACCATTCTATCTACGGTGCTAAATAGCCATGATCACCTGGCACCCTCCAGCCTGCACAAGAGACACGCCCAGACGGCTGTACTACATATTCCGGAGGATGAGTATGAGTTTGGGGAAAGCGAACGGGTGCTATCGTATTTACGACCTCAAGAACAATTGGCAAAGAATTTGATTAACTCCGATTTAGATGAGGATTGTGAGGATTGTGCATGGAGAGACCATACGGCTTCCCTGGAGAGCATCATTGGCGACGTCGATCTGTGGTATGCCAAGGCAACGAAGCAGGCTCAACCACCCTCATCGAGTACAAAGGAAACCTTGTCGAGCAGCAAAAAGAGTATCAATCAATCTATATATTTTTTAGAATAAATGACCTCGCTGAGTTGTTCCCACTTCAGTTGCAGGTCACAACTATTACACATTTGTTTACACAATATCCTCAAAGGAATACAAGTCGGATTTTCAAGCGAGAGGTCATCGGCTCTCCGACCCGATCCCGGTCCCGACTGCGAAAGGTCCTTGTACGACGCAAGCCCCACAAATCTGTACTCCCAACACTAGTCAATAACAACAACAATCGTAGCGAAATCGATTCGAAAGGCAGTTCCGAGTCGCAGACCACGCAGCCAAAGAAACATCGTGTTGTAGTTTTTCAGCGTAGACTTACAAAAAGTAGAAACCATACAGAAAATAAATCTAAAACGGGAAGTTCCCCAACACTAACCATGTCAAAGTTAACGTCAAACCCAGCCACATTTCAAACGGATCGTTTGCCAACACTAACTATGTCAAAGATGCCGTTTACGATAATCTCAGACACATTTCAGACGGAACGCTTGCCAACTTTGCCACTATCCATGTCAAAGTCAACGTTAACGTCAATTAACGACGCCACTAAGCGACCCAGAAGGCGTAAGCAAAAGCAACTGGGCAATAAAAACCGTCAATTATCTATTTCCAAACGGGTTACCAAGACCCGGCTACTGAATACTACAACAAGTACTGAACTATTCACAAGAACCTACACATATGTTGTGGAGCGGGTGCACAATAATCAAACCGAGCTTCTGGAATCCATCTCATCATTCACCCGAGTGCATACCCGAACTCTGCCTGCGACACTGACGATTACGCGTACTCAACTAAATGATGCTTTGGTTATTGCCACACAACAACCTTGAGATCTGAACGAAATTATTTCAGTAGGGTAGGGACCCAAACTTAAAACTCAATTATCCATTATCAAAGAATATTTCTGCAGATATATGCTTTCTGCCAATATATAATAATATATATTTTGGTCTTATCTTCTTTGAAAACTTAATAAACTTATTTAGCTCAACCTTTAATATTAATCATTTATTAACAATTTATTAAATTTGTATACCAACTTTATTTAATTGTTTTAAATATAACAGATATTTCAGCTCTTCAAAATAAAGCCCAAATTGATACACAACTAATTAATTAAATAAATATTTTATAAACAATAAAAAATGATTCAATAAAGGTCAAACTTTGACGGTCCCTGGCTCAAAGCATGTAAATATTTACATCATACATATGTATGTATTTTCATGTATTTTGATGTATCTTGATGTATATTGATATATCACACACACATACACATTATGTACACATGTATATACATTTATATAGTCTTCTGTGTTAACTTCAGTTCTTAAGTTTATTTATCCTCCACGCCCGATATCTATTTTATACAAATATATTCATATATATATATATATATATATATATATATATATATGAAAAATATACCATATGTCAAATATAAAATGTACATAATTATAATAGCTATACATATAAGGACACGTTAACTGAATTAAATCTATATTGTACATTTTAAGTTAATTACTTTTGTTTGTTAACTTTCAGTCTTTATCGGGCAATTAATACAAAATAATCTACAAATTTTTTATTTAAGTATGTATAAAATGGGTTTGTTAATACTGTAATTTTGATGTATGTATGTATGTACATATGTGAATTGTATGTTTAAAATGTTACTTAATCTTAAAACAAAAATTTATGATAAGCATGCAAGTTTATCTTATGTTTGCAATTATATATACACATCTACATTTTTTTGAATAAATTAATTGACTTTGACAACATTCTGTTATACCATATATCTGTTGCTTGAACACTTCATATTTATAACTAGGAGGACGAACTAAACGGATTTGACAATGGTTCTCTGTCTTTTTTTTAACAAAACAAAACTGTCTTACATGCAGGTATTATTTCTATATATTTTCTCGTTATACTCAAATCCGATTGTTTGGCCAGAAAGTGTTTAATTATACTTCTCAGCTATTTTGCCGGCATTCCAATAATCAATTTGCATAAGAACCTTTTAAATAAAAATAGATAATTCGATTTTTTCCCCTCAAAAACGTGGAGTACGATTATTTTATTCTAGATTATTTTGTTTGTGACTCTAAATGGCCTATTTTCCCATTATTGCACTTGATTATTATTATTTTTAAATCTGTGAAGAGAAGTCATGTAAATATGCGCAACAATTGATACAAATGTAAAAAGGCCGACTATTTTATAGTTGTGCGCATAAATTTTCACTAAATGTCCACATAAAATTCTTGTAATTGATGCAGGCTACAATAAGAGACACGTTAAACACTATACAACACATAGCACTAAAAGTGAATCAACTGACACAATGTCCCGCCTTCAGAATATCCGCATGCTAGCTGACACCAACCATTTGCTGGTTGGGGTCAATTTTGGGGACATGTCGGATAGAAGCTTGGATGAGGCTAGATTCAATCTGGCGACGCATGTTATGTCAAATGGAGTAGAGCTAATAATTGCCAGCGACAAGATCAAGCATGCTGATACGGTTCACGGACTCGCCAGCATATCCTCCTCGAGGCACGTCCAACTGAAGCCAGTCACCCTTGCCCCCAGCACACTGAAGAATCACATGTTTCTGGCATTGCCCACCAGCAGACAGGTAATCGTATGGCTATAATTATCATTTGTAATTTCTTAACATCTCCATTTGTTTATGTTAGGAGAATTTTACAATTCCCACAGATGAAAACCAATTTATTACGAAGACTTGCCTGACGACCTACACATACCACACAACCTACCTCAACAAAGGAAGTACCACGGTGGAGAGCCGAGAGAAGGTTGTCTCCAACCGACACACGGAGGAGCGCAACTTCTTGCGAGCCAGCACCCAATTGCCGCTAGGGGTCACTCTTTCAAATGTAAGCATATTTGTTTGCACTAGGAAATACCCTATAAACCCTGCGCAAAAGTCCCTCTTTCTGTTGCACGCAGCACATATATCAAAACAAGCTGGATCGGACCACTATATCATATAGCTGCCATAGGAATGAACGGTCGAAAAATAAGCTTTTGTACGAAAAAACATTTAGTTTTTCAAGATATCTTGACCAAACTCGACTTTTATTAGTTTTACTTTACTCCTCATATACCTTCAAAATCTTATTAAGACCGGACCACTATATCATATAGCTGCCATAGGAACGATCGGTAGAATATTTAATCGTTGTATAAAAAAACATTTTGTTTTTCAAGATATCTTGACCAAACTCGGCATTTATTAGTTTTACTATACTCCTCATATGTAGGCAAAATCATATTAGGATCGGACCACTATATCATAAAGCTGTCATAAGAACGATCAGTCGAAAATTAAGTTTTGTTGTATGAAAACACATTTGGTTTTTCAAGATGTCTTGACCAAACTCGGCATTCATTAGTTTTACTGTACTCCTCATATATAGGCAAAATCATATTAAGATCGGACCACTATATCATAAAGCTGCTAACAATCGGTCAAAAATTAAGTTGTTGTATGGAAAACTTTTTTGTCATTCAAGATATTCTGATTAAACACGGCATTAAAAGATTTCACAATGCTCCCTTCATTTTTGCAAAATCTTATTTACACCGGAATACTATATCATATATCTGCCATAGGAATGATGGGTCGAAAACTAGGTTTTTGATTAAAAACATTTGTTGTTTATTAAGATATCTTCCGCAAACTCGGCATTAACTATTTTCCCTGTGCTTCTTAGATACGGGCAAAGCACTATAAGCATTATGAAAAGGTTGGGTCTGCAAGGGTATTAAATCTTTGGCGTGCCGAAGATAGCCTTTCTTTCTCGTTTTTTTCTTTTTAATTTTGAGGGAAACAGTCATACAGAAAGCTTAAATATTCTAAATCTCTCGATATTTGAAAATCTCTCTAGATATTATTCTGCATAAGGAAAGGGAGATTGGCTATTTTTGGGGTTCAATGGGTTCAGTAGTAAAAAGAACCATATATGTATATAACCATTATAATTCATACACTTGTAATATTTATAGACGCTCGAGCTGGCGGTGGGCATATATCCAACTACATACCACTACTATAATACGCTCAAAGGCAACGATTTGGTCATCACATCGAGCTACACGGTAATTAACACAGTCACTGGACCGGAGGATTACATATCATATTTACAACCTTCAGAGGATGCAACCCCCGTGCTAGACACAAACACATATTACACCCCGCTTGTTATAACGAAAACAATACAAGACGGTTCGGAGTCGACAAAAGTTGTAAGCGATAAAAATATTTTGACTCAAATCGTTGTCACGGAATCAATTCCCGCCCGAGGTGCAACAAGGCTTCATCCTTCGATCCATGCTTTGAGTAACAACAACATGTTTGATCCGACAAGTTCGATAGATGTTCAGATCTATGCAACGAAAACGTATTTGACTACGGTTAGCTATCTAGAAACAGTTACACAGCCGTCGTCTAAGGAGGAAAATGATAATTTGAGTAGCTTCCAAACTCAGGTGATCGTTAATGTTATGACAGATATCGTGCCGGATTCGCTATTGGGACCGGAGCTTCTGTCCAAGTTCTCTACGGAGCTAATGCAGAAAAAGGGCAAAAACAATCGAAAGGTTTTGGTTACTCTGGCTACCTTATTAAGTGGGGAAACTCTGCAAGTAACTGCAGTAAATATGCCAAAAGACGGACTAACTGCAACGTCCGTATCCAAGGTTCAAGGGTTTGGCGATAAGTCGTCATTTGCCAGTCTAGACAATATTAGACAAAAGACAAAATTAGCCATTAAACCAATTACAATGCAAAGTAACATTAGAATAGAAAAAACGAAAAATCAAACCGAATTAGATTTACAGTATGACTCAGATACAGAAGATCAAAACCCGTCAGAATCCGAAAACAATAATATGTATCTTAGGCCTCCTTCATCGCCGACCTTCGAACAATTAATTGGATCTTTGAATCTACAAAGATTTCGACCAGTCTTTGATATAATGGCTGAGCTGTTACAGAAGAAAATCGTGAATAAGCCAACTCAAGCAAACCCGAATTCGATTAATGTAAACGATAGAAAAAATCAAACAAATAATAATATCTCCAGTCAAAGTCAATTAGACGAAAAGCCCGTTTACATACCACTTAAGCCGGCTAACTCGCAAACCGAGCAGAGCCCGATCCCGAGTCCCAACCCGAACACATTGGCCAGCTACAACTCGGATATTAATAGCTCCAAAAATAAACTGGACATTAATCTTAGCAGGTTGGCGGCACACAGTCTGCACATCAATCCCCCGGAGGCGGAGACGGAACTGGACTTTCCCGATGCACCAGTCGATAACATCTGGAGAAACAACAACAACAATATTACGCTTAAGCCAAATCCGTTATTGGGCTATCAGAGCCTATTGCTTAATAACGGTATACCCATACGACCGGGAGAGATTATAAATGCCAACGCGGATGTAATCATTGGCAGGCCAAACGGCATAGGAGCTCAATTCTCAGCTGCTCAAGTTGAGGAGTCTCCGAGTGCGTATCGGGAGAAGACGGCAATTAATTATAATATGCCGCCATTTAAAAAGAAACCCTGGATACCTCCTCCACCTCAACTTCCACTTTCACTTACCCCGCCACGTCTCATTCCACTCGTTCACGAACGACCGAAAATTACTCGCAATCAGCAAAGGGTAATCGTAGACGGTTACAGCAATATCCTTAGGCCATCTGCGCAAATATATCAAGAGTTCAGCACAACATCTTCAATATATCATTTCCAATCGCCACCTGGCTCTCACAATCGATTGCCAGCGTTATACAACAATCCAATTACGAGCAACAATGGCAATGGCATCTATGGATCACAGCAGGTTATTATTAATTTGAATTCGGAGCTGAATAACAATGAAATTTTGGAAATCAAACAAATACCTCAAATATTCAGCACACAGCTAGCTTCGGTTACAACATTTCCAATGTCCGAAACTAATTACTACAGGCAGATGCCACCGAAGAGCTCAATAGCTCCGACATACTCGGCCCATCATCACATAAATCTGAAAACGGATGTGCTTAGTCATAATGTTAACATGAATGTCCCTCCGCTAACTTTTAAGAATGAAAATGAAAATTTTCCACTTGCGACGGCAGTGCGAGGACACATTCCCCCGACGAATATGCCATTGATAAAGATACCACTCAATAAAGCCCATGTCGAAGTACGCCTGACACCGCAAAGCAACAGACTGGCTGTCGAGCCACTCGTCCCACCCGAACCAGATCAAATAGCTAGTCCGAATATTAAGCAAACAGCCAATGCATTCAAGCAGCGTAATCAGAATTTTTCGAAAAATATTGAAAACCTGTCATTGCATGATCAAAATACAAGCTTTAGCAGCAAGACTATAAGTTCTAAGAAGCCGCACAATAACGTCAATTCGAATCCAAAAATATTGGCATCTAGTCCACAGTTTAATTCAGCAATAAGTAACAAATTGGCAAATCACACAAACAAGTGGAATATCAGTGAAACACCAATAAAATGGAACAGTCCGTTCACATCGGCTGCGACCGACTCGGATCAGGCTGCGACAAATTTGATAAGCTCGGAAATCAAAAAACGGCCAAATTTGGCATACCTCATGCCCACATTAGTGAGCGAAGCTCCTATTAATATGCTCGATAATTTTGGTGAAGATCAAAGCGCTGCGTATACCACCTACCATTCGAAGTACAATTTATCAAATGACAACCTTTCTCCAACCACAGATACGCAATTGCCTAACGTAAATCCAAACTCCTTGGGTTCCAGACCAGAGATCAGTTTGCAGTCTTCCAGTTCCAAGAATATAGCTCCCGATAAATTATCTGTGAATTCGTGGTTGTCACTCCACACTCCATACAGCATCCAATCCGTCCCTTCCAGTTTCAAGAATATAGCTTTAGATAAATCAACAGTGGATCCTTGGTTGTCAGCTCACACTCCAGACAGCAGTCAATCCCTCCGTTTAGGCAAGCCCTTTGTCAAGCACAAGCCGCCGACTCAATCAAAAGTGAAAAGCGACATTCCAAAAATTATATTTGTGGCGCATGGCGAACGCTTTAACTTAAGGCCAATTGCAACAAGCCAAATTATAGAGAATTCCGATTTGTATGCCGGCAAACCAACTAAAATATATCCCAAATTCGGGGCGATAAGCCTGATGGGGCCTCGTCTGACCACATATTTAAAGACAACCAGTTCCACAAGGATTTATGGTTCTCAAACTGTGAACGGACTACAGCCGCCGCCAACTCCACAACACCCATCACCAACAAGAGCTAAGGAGTCATCCAATAGATATTCCACGTCATCGACGACAAGGCATATGAAATCCACGGAAATAGTAAGCCACAACTTCCAAACCCAATTCAATTCGGGCATAAAAGTAATTACGCCTAGTTCAGAATCGCCGATAATCAATAATTCAGTACGATTCGAACACAACAGGACCCAAGATCTTTCGATAAGGCCAAAGAGCTCGTCTATACCCATGGCAAATGTTCCCAAATCTTCAGATGTATCTGCTTCAAACACGATTCGCAAATCGTCAATAAAAACATCATCAACCGACTCGCAGTTAATTAGTATTTCGAGCAAGAAGGCTCTTCTAGTGCCAACTAACACCCATTATTCCAATGAGAATATCAGAAATACTTCTGGCTATTTGACTTATAACAATAGTCAAAGTTCATTGCATTTATTGGAATCGTCGGAAGCGGTACCGTCGACGGAAAGGCAAATTCCGATTATAGAAATTTATAGTAATGGGATTCCGAAGGCTGATAAAGATCAAATAACAGACATGCTCGATGACGCCACCTTTACAAAAATGCAAAACGTAATTTTTAAATCAATTGAACCATCTTCTACCACGAAGAAGAAAATTACACTTACCTCAAAAATGTCGCCAGCTCTGATGGATGAGACAAAACTTATTCAAAGGGTAACCAAAAGTCGGACAGCAGATTCCATTCAAGCGAAGTCGAGACCATATACAACAATAATGCCCACGACCACGACAATGAAGATGCAGCCCGACATTTCCAGCATTTTGGTTGTAATGACAAAGGCCACTGGCAATCAGAATAGCAATAGTATTAATTTGGAGGTACCCTTGGATTATGATTCGAGCATATCATTCGAGATCCCGACACGAGACGAGGAAATTTTGCCGCCCATTAACGCCAACAGTGTACTACTTGGTGGTATCCTGATAGCCACGCCATCGAAGACGCAGTATACCCAATACACAAACTTGAACTCATCGGAAGCCTGCAATCCGGCCTGCAAGTCCAATAAAAATGAGATATGCACCAACATATCGGAATATGTGAATCGCTGCGAATGCCGGCTAGGATTTGCACGCATGTTCCCAGATCGGCCTTGCAAACGTAAGTTTCTTGACTTCCTTCAATACATATACATGGATATATGTATTATAGACGAAGCAAACAGTATAATCAAAGACAATATAAACACTATGATGAGTAACGCCCATACATTTGACTGCGACACAAAATTTATAGCCTGATCTTACATCTGGCCTTTGAGGCTTCGTACGGCATGCCTGGCGACTGGTTGTTCGTTCTCCAAAGACCAGACGAACGAATGCCGAAGTCGCGGCTTGCTAATGCCACTAACCAAACAACATATAGACTAGACATGAGTACCGGAAAGTAGTCACAAAATGTATCGGAGGCATCTGGTCCAAACTCGCGATTAAGGGAGTAAGATATACATATGATGTATTTTTGAACCGCTTAATCTACAGGAAAGTGCTTGGCGCACTCTCTTCCATATGATTTGTGCAATAGAACGGCAACGCTGTTGTCTTTTATCTCCCTCGCACTTACTCTCAGCTCTCAATGCTCTCTCTATATTTAGGGACAAGCAAAATTGCGCACAAATTCAATTTTTCTCAAATGCTGAGGCATTTCTACCCTTTTGAAGGCACGTCGATGCGAAATTCTAGCATTTTAGCTCGCTATCGTTGGTAAGGGTACCCAAGTGTTGCCATGTGTGCATTTAAAATATTTTGGACTCGCTATTCACGCATACTTGCATACTTGGTGTATGAATATAGGCATTTATGCGCTTGTGTGCCTGTTGCTTGCCTGCCTGCCTGTCCCCGATGCAAATTTAACAATTTCTTTTTAATGATTTGATGAATGAAATTTGAGTAAAAATAAAAATCTTTAAAATATTAAAAAATACCAAATTAAAAAAAGGAGCGATTATATATTTATGGTTTTAATAATTTTGGTGATCAGTCACTTGACCTCCATATGCAGGTGCTTGCAAAAGTTGACCCATTCGACCCTACGAACTGCTGCAGGTAATAAGGGGTCAACATTCATTCATCAAAATCATTAAAAAGAAGGGCGCGCGTCAGACGCGTGCCAATAACGATATTTTCTTTGCGCCCATGATCTGCCCATTCACAGACATTTGTATGTGTGTGTCTGTGTGTAGAGGTCCAAAATCAGAAATCCGAAAATCTTGTTAAAGTTGCATCGGGGACAGGCAGGCAGGCAAGCAACAGGCACACAAGCGAGAGAGAGCGCATTGAGAGCTGAGGGTAAGTGCGAGCGAGATAAAAGTTAACAGCGTTGCCGTTCTATCGCACAAATCATATGGAAGAGAGTGCGCCAAGCACTTTCCTGTAGAGTAAGCGGTTCAAAAATACATCATATGTATATCTTACTCCCTTACTCGCGATTTTGGACCAGATGCCTCCGATACTTTTTGTGACAACGCTGTTTGTATGTGATGTCCAGTCTATATGTTGTTTGGTTAGTGTCTATATGTTGTTTGGTTAGTGGTTGAAGTGAATTCTTTATTCTTCCCCTTTTTGTTTGAAGTATCGATATTGTCACCGATTTCGATACCATAGACATTGCACTGGGCTGCTTATTATTTTATATGGTCACATTGATTACATTCAAATTCATATTCGATTGGTTATCTTGTTGGTTTTTGCATATATTGATTTTTTTGTATTTACATTACAGCCACCTATACATTCGAGATGCAAATACCAATTACTAGAGTTGGCAATTACTTACTCGAATTCAGCGACGAGTTTCTAAACAATTCATCAAGCCAATATCGACATCTGAGTTCAATAATTCTTGATGCAATCGATCGAATGGTCATGCAGTCCGACTTCCGCGATGTATACCATGGTGTCCAATCAAAAAAATTGTACTCCAACAGGAATGGCGCAGTGTTGGGCTGTTTTTTGCTACAGGTTTAATTAAAAACTATATATACATATAAATATCTAATAATTTATTATTTTAGTTGTCGGAGAACAGCAACGAAAAACGCTTAGGAACTGTTTTTAAGAAATACCTGCGCCAGAGTAACTACAGTATTGGAGGAACTGAGTTATATACGTCCAAGGAGGATATCAACATGTTGTCAATTAAAGGTAAATTAATATTGGTATTTGTGCCAAAAACCAATCATTTTCATTAAACTCTTTTGACGAGTCTCAAACTATCAACAAAACACATTGATAAATATCTCCAAGTAAATATCTATAATGTAAGACTGATTAATTTGAATTTAAATTTCAATAAATCCACAGTTAAGCTATGGTATCGATGAGTATGCATATGTAGCTCTGTTTAATATTATATCGATACATTCCTTTGGTTTGAAATTCTGTTAACTGTGATATCGATACAAACCAAAGGAATTTATCGATATTTTCAATAAGCAATTTTTAAAAGATTGTGAAACTGTGCGTTTCTGTAAAAGAAGAAGAATCATAATTCATACTTCATAACAATATATATTATTTATTTAGATTTCAACGAATGCGCCCACGATGAGTTCAATGATTGTTCTACTCATGCCCAATGCTTCAATTTGGTTGGCAGCTACACCTGCAGCTGCTCCGACGGCTATGTGGACACATCGGATAACCCAATTTATCCGGGCCGTCAATGCTCGGATCATATAGTTGGCTGCGATAAGTGCAACTACCACGGCAACTGTGTTACACCGATTTTGAATGGGACTCCAGTCTGCGAATGCTTTGCTTGGCACGCTGGCGCCATGTGTCAGTTAAATTTAAAGATTCTGCTAATAAGCCTAATCGCAATAGGCACCGTGTTTATCGTGTTGCTCGTCTGCGTGCTGCTGATCTATTCAAGACGCCGGGTGCGGGTTGGTTCGTCGTCAAGGCCCATATTTATAACGGCGTCCAATTACCATCCCAGCATGTTGACAACGTCCAGCAGCAAAACGGGCGTGTCCTCTGCAGCTCTTATACGTAAATGCGGCAGCATGGAGAAGCATGTGATTTTAAATGACTCGAATAGCGAATCTAGTCACAATTCTAGGCCATATTCGTTTAAGGTAATGTGCATGAAAGAGAAAATAAGATCCACTCCTGAAATTTCCGCCCACCGCACATATTTCAAAATCATTTACCCAGTCCCTTCATTCTCGTCCCGATCTTACTTCGAGTCGTGACATTACTCATATAAAAAAAATTTGTTTTTTTCTATATTTAAAAATTAGGAATCAGAGGCAGCCGATACTGTCGAACCGGAACAATCGGATCGGTCACTTACGGTGATGATTCCGCGAGCGAAATACTACCACCCGACGGTTTTACCACATGCACAACTTAAGCAGCACGAGTTGACACTGGAAAAAGTCGATAAAACTATTTTATTCAAAGGGACGCCACAATTTTATGATGGCAAACTAAAAGGAATAGCAGGAGATGAGTCTGAGCCCTTTGGCAAGGAATGTGCTGCCCAAAACAGTGGCGCCCTCGTCTCTGCTGGCTTTGAGGTGTCTGCAATTGTAAGCGATCGGGCAGTTCAATCAAGCCAAACAGTCGAGTGGAAGGAAAATGGAAATGACCAGACACATCAAAAAATATCGAGAGCAAACTTAGAAGCCATTTTAAATTGCGGCGAGTAAGTTTATAACGACATTTTCCAAAAATGTCCAAATCTAATCCTATCGATTTCAGGGATATTCACAAAATGAGCTCCTGGATGTCTAATATTCCTACGAATTCTATGTAAGATCCTCATCTGAATACGTTTATATAATAATTTTTAAATTCTTAATTTTTAAATTAATTTTAATTTATCGCAAGGTGAATGGCTTTAAAATTCCTGCTAGTATTATTATTTTAGTGTCTTTTAGGCGGATGATGTGATATGATACTATATGAAATACTTTTTTTTTAGATCGGCCGATGTGCGCTCATTTGATGAAACGACAGTCCAGGCTGTAACCAAATCGATGCACCTTTCTTTCGACAAAGTGGCGCAGAGTACTACCAATGAGGTAATACAAATTTTAATATATAAATTTTTAGATAAAATGATAGCTAACAACTTAAATCTGTTTAGGAGGCGAACACAATGACAGAGCGAGATCTTGGCTCTACATTTTTGCTGCCGCATACGCACCTTTACAAGCCAGAGAAGGTATAACATTTGAACACACACAAATTCTATAACCACTAATCGATTGATTAATTATAGCTCGAGAGTGACCTGTCCGGCTTTGACTCGTTATAGGATATATATATATACATATATATAAATTTGGGAGAGTCAACTCATATGATTAAATTTAGATCATTGATACTTACCTCTCTTTGTTAAAACATTTTTTACACCGACGCTATTGTAACATAATTCACCACGAAGGCAGCATACCTCTAGGTTTTCGCATTTGTTATAATCATATTATAGGGAATAATGAAATATTTTATAGTATTTTTATTACGGTACCCATTCAAAATGGGTTAAAAACTTTAATAGTATACTCTTATTTAGCTTATACCTGTCTAAAAAAAAATATGGTGATTTTCGGCTTAAGTTTTAATTATTCACTATCTTCTGATTTCTTCGGAATATTTAAATTTGTACACATAGCAAAGATTTAAAGAAAGAAGCACAGATGCATTTATAGAAATCAATACGAACGCTGCGACAGTTCGCAAACGGGGAAACAGGGTAACTACCAGCGGGCACATCCCATGTTGTCTTTATTAGTTAATAGGGCTAGTTAGTTAACTAAAAGCCCTTGTGAATATATGAAATGTCCATGAAGATGTATTTTAATGTAACGTTGCATTTACATATTGAATTTCACTTCAACTATATAATAAGTCGACTAGCTATCATTTTTACAATCGAACAAAAAATGACTACCGCAAAAAAATTGATTGCGTTTATCGTGTTTTTAAATTATAAATTAAATTGTGTGCCAGCAGATTATCTGTAAGTCAACCAAAATATTGCCTTATTATACATAAAATGTATTGTAAAATATATGATGAAAACAGCCTTAACTATTTATTATTTATCTAATAAAATGTTTTTAAGAAAGCTAACCACACACTATTTATAATTAAACTAAGCCCGACAAGAGTACCAAGTTCTCGAAAACCCTTTTCTATAGAAACTAGATTAATGGTCCGGTATTTGTAAGTATACTAACTAGCTTAAGCGACTTTGTAAGCAAGTATTTTTAAATTTATAGTGCTGTAAATAGGTTATGCAAAATTTTAAAGAATTTGGCAGTATTTGACAATTTTATTTAACAATTTTTTTAGATGTTGGTTTATAATAACTAAACAGGTAAAACATTTTTCCTTTTTACTATAAAAGTTCAAGATAGGAAACAAATAGTGCATAGTATCTAAGCTGTACCTGTTTATAACAATTACTACCCTTTCGAGAGTCGGCCGAATATCCTGATGGGGTGCAAAGTCCACAACTGGTAATTATGAGAACTAACACTAGTCGGGTGTATCCGACTAGCGTTTGCCCTGTATCCATCTATATTTTACAAATAAACCTAGCAGAGGCATGTTTTGAAATTGTATACATCTAGGTATAAAATGCTTCTATACGAGCAGAGCAGAAGGCATTTCTTTTGATCAATAGGCGAAGCCTCCTTCTGCCTGTTATATAAGTTGCACAAAACGTTTGATACCCATTTGAAATAGGGGTACAGGGTAGATGAATAGGGGTTGATATAGAGTTGTGTTCGAAGCTTTTTTCGTGTAAAAATGGACAGTGGTCGATGCCAACTCGTTGCTTCTCGGCTAATGCGACGAACATATTCGTATATATTTAGGGGTTCGGGTACTTTTTTAGTTAGCACCGCAGAGGCGTCTTCGTCGGGGGTTCAATGGAAAACTTTTAACAGTCGCCCACTCGGCAAAAATATGCTGGGTCACTGAACTTTTTTGACCACTTGCGAGTAGCCGAGAATATACCTGTCCAAACGTCCCCATAAGAACAATATTTCCAACTCAGCGATATAATCTGGCAATCTCGCTCAATATACCTATAACTAGGGGTTGGCTAAAGCCCGCTGACCAGAGGTATACAGGGTACAGGTGGAGAGGTGTGCACAGGTGGAGTGACTAGTCGCGCAGCAGTATTATTCGAGCAGCTCGTCAAAATACACTTGTATATTATTTCTTGTACCAAATACTGGCTAAAACAAAAAAAAAAATAAACAATTTTTGTTTGTAACGAATAATTATATATACATTTTTGGATTATATAAAATTCAACCGAGTGAAAGTAAATAAGTTAAATTTGCATATGCGTACTGTAAATAAGAAAGGTCCTTTTATATATTAAAGGATTGCCTTTAAAATGATTATATACAATTCCCCATAAAGTGCTTATCATTAATTGCGTATAAAATGATTATTTATAATAAGAGTATAAGGAAATAAGCAAACTCACACATATATACTTATATTATAATAGAAGACTCGCGTATGTGTATTTAAATACTCGATCTTACGAACAAAAAATAATCGCAGGTTATTTAACAATCTGTTTTCGAGTGAATTGAAATTTTGTCTAAAATATTTGTGGTGACTAATTTACAGAAAATATAATGAATGACTCATAGAACTTTCCTATTTACCTATGACGGATTTTGGAAAGTCCCAGAAAGCTTGGAAAATCAAAATTCAACTGTACCCATATTCATAGATATATGAAATAATACAAAAATAGATCATTTGAATTGTGGTGATTTAATATTATTGATTTGATTTTTCCAAACCACTTAATAAAAAGTTATATCAATCAGATCGACTTTAACCTAATGTTTAATCAATGGGCATTTTATTGCTTTTGGAAAATTCAGTCTCTCCAGGTTGAGAAAACCGAAAATAAGGTTGTAAAAAAAGAAGAACGTTGCAATTTTAGGCAGTTTTTCATTTTGTGGCATTTCCAAAGCTGGGTGCGTCATATTACCGGGTCTTCAGCTACCTTGCTCACTTGTCAAATGGTCCCGAAGTAGAGGTCATATTTTTATACTAAGCCGATACATTTACATTTCAAACATTTAAAATGTATGGTAAAATGTAAGACGTACATATAAAATGTACGGTAAAATGTAAATTGTTTGTTCCCCACATTTGCTTTTCATTCAAAATGGCGTCGCCAAGCTCTTTCCAGCGCATCGTCGCCCCAGCCAGTCGCAAAGGCCTTGCCACCCTTTTGCGACGAATGACGCGTCATTCGGGCCAATCACGACTTTCGAAGTTCTCTGAGCTATAACAAATAGCCAATGAGAGCTTTAGTGGAGAGCGTGGCCGGTTAGCACAGTTAACCTGTATCCAGAGCACACACACACACAAGCTCGCACACTTAACGTCTCATCCCTATGGAAGCTAATGCCTTCAATTGTTTATGAGTGTGTTATTCGTGATTTATACAAATTTTCTCTTTGTACTCTTTGTTTAGTGGGCTAGTTAATCTTAGACTGCAAGCCTACATCATTTGTAATTTATAGATTTTTGTTTATAGAGTTTTGTTGCTCGGAAAATGTGCCAGATATATGTATATATAAAGCCTTAAAAGCACAGTATTCATTATTATTATTATTAATATATTATGTAGATTAGTAAACAAAACAGAATCAAGGAAATGATTACGGCAGCAAAAAAATTGAAAGGCAGCGATGGTAAAATCGGAGGATTGCAGCACCTCGCTGGAGCGCCAGAAGTGGAAGAGTCTGACGAGGAGCGCGAATTGACAAATTTAAACTGGCTACTAAGAAACCAAAATCTTTCGTGGCCAAAAACAATTGATGCTAACTCCGAGGATGATGTTAATGGCCAGGTCGGCAGCAATCGGAGCCTGTCCACGGCAGCAGCAGAAGGTGTCAATGCACAGAAGAAACCAAAGGCTTTGGAATATGATACTTTAAAGCATATGACAAATAAATCTTGTCCGGACTCAAGAAAATCAAGCGCAGCAACGGCACCTTTAAAACGTCCAAGTCCAGCCGAGCGCTATGATATTTTCATCAACAAAATAAAGCGGTGAGAATAATTAATTCAAATAAAAGTAAAAACAGATAGCTAAGCCAAGAATCGATTTCTTATTGCAGCGATTTAGTGGAATATGAAAAATCGGCCAACACGTATAAAACGGACGTAACACACAAGCCGCCCTTTAACTACTCCCACATCATTGGAATGGCAATGCTGGAAAATGGACGGGTCACATTGCAACAGATTTGCGCATGGATTGAGGCCAAATTTGCCTTCTTTCGCGTGCGTAAAAAATGGAACGTAAGTCTGCATTTTTCAGCCTTTATCTATGGCTATGATCCTGTTAACGAAATACTTTGTTTAGACTGTTGTTGCAGATTAAACAAGTAAGAGGCTCTAGTCGGGAGTTCCTGACTAGGGAATACCCTGAACCCTCTTATTCCAACAGCAAATGTTGCATTGATGTTGTTGCATTGATGTTTTCGCTAGCTGCCCTTCCAATTGCGCAGCTTTGGTTTTTACTTAACCGATTTTAATGAAATCTTCTACATCTACTTATATATCTTATTGTAGCATACACTTTTTGTGTATTTTCAAAAAGTCAATTGCATTCAAATTGTGGCTTAAATTGGTTGGCAATATAAGTTACTTATTATTACTATTAATTGGATTTATAAGTCTGGTGGTGATAACGGTGAGGTGGCGATAGGAATAAAATGAAAGATACTTTATATATATGCATATAATATTCTAGAAGCAACATATCAAGTTTGGTGACTCTAGCTCTTAATACTTACCAAAATTGCTCAAAAAACAGGATATCGATATCGATTTTTATCGATTGCTTGGAAACGGAGTAAGTTGTCGATTATCGGAAACAAACTCGGTCTATGCAGGCACTAGGGGGACCTACATCTAGCTCTTATAGGTTCTGAGATCCTTGCGTTCATACATGCGGGCAGACGGACAAATGGACGCACGGGGGTATATTTTCTTAATTTATTTTGTATTACTTAAAAATACAATTTTTTTTGTACGGAGTACACAAAATGCATTCATATATCAACAGAAATTTTGGTTAGGTGATCTGTGCTAAAAAACTAAGAAAAATGTTTCTTTGCCAGCCAGAGACTTTGCCAGAGCAGTGGATAACAACACATTCAAATATGCTGTTATGTATGTACATATATTCACACGCATACAAACATAATTGCATGCACGGCCCTCATAGAGCCGAAGCTGAGAGCAAATTCTATTTTTAGCTATTTCGTTCTCTCGGCTGTGAGAGCGCAATGCTATTGATTTCGTTTTCGTTCTCAATTTTCAAAAAATCAAGCTGCATAGTAGCATTTTGTTGTATGGCGTTACCCATCTTAGTGTTTATATTGTTTTTGGTAGCATTTTGTTGTACGGTGTTACTCATCTTAGTGTTTATATTGCCTTTGGTTTCACTATGCCCCTTATATATTTGCAAAATCCTATCAACATCGGTTGCATGGCAAAATAATAATTAATGAAATGTTTTTACTATTTTAGAATTCCATAAGGCACAACCTGTCGCTGCACCACTGTTTTCGTAATCGCAAACGCGAGGAGAAGGGCAAGGGAGGCTATTGGGAGCTGGGAGTGGATCCCAAGAAATGTGATAGAAAACGCATTCGCAATCGCAAGACGACCCAATCGAAGTTAAATCCAGTTTCGGATTTGTCAAAAAATCAAAGTCAATTGTCGAAATATCAATTCACCAACAATGAGATAAGATCCCACAGGACTCAGGACTCACATACGCCGGATGAGAAGCCCAGAAATTCCCGGCTGGATAGTTCCGACAATAACATGGCCGAGCAGGATGTGCAATTGGATTGCCTAACCCTAACGGAGGTTGAAGTTGGCTTGGGCCTGACGTTACCAAATGCTCTGAGTCCGAGGGTGCACGATCCTGACGCCACTTTCCTATTTCCGGATACACTTCCGGCTACCCTGACCACAAACAATGAAGCCTTTCATCTGCAGCAGCAATACGAGCTGGGCACCATTATAATTAGCACGACGGGCATTCTGGAGGAACCTTCTTGCCTGAATAGCCTCATCAGCAACAAGTTCGGCTGCTCTAATATGGTAAGATTCCTGGATGGGCTTAAAAAAATGACCAAGCAATTCGAACAATTATTTTAGATCTACAAGGAGGATGAGATTCCCACAGCAAGTGAGAATGTCACCATTTCGTCGCATAAAATGGATGCCAATAGAGATGCGAATGTGGCATTGATTGCAAGCTCTGAGATGCCCATCCCTGGAAGCTTTACCATCAATTACGATTACTCAAATTTTCGACCATTTATGGACAGCGTCGATGAGTCCTTCGGGTATCTCCAGAGCAGCGAGATTAATCGGAATGAGGACATTTTGGATAACCTGCTCGACGTGTGTGTTAGAGATTATTAATATTGACAATATCGCCAAATTAAAGTGCACATTAAACTTAAACTGAAGCTAATACTATAAATTGATCTTATCACTAAAAGCAATTTCCCGCAGTTTTCCGGCTCAAGTTTATTTAAATGGAATATGTTGCTGGTACCAATTATGTTCAAAAAACGTTTGCTTTTTCGAAAAAACTGTCGAGGATTTCGTATTGCAGCTTTATTTTTTGTGCTTTTCTTCTTGTACTTGTTATTCTGTCCATATGAACATTTCTTCCTAATGCTATTTCATATTAAACAAAGGAAAAAACAAAATAACAATAACAAAATAAACCTAAACAATTTCTGTTGTTTTCAAACTTATCTACAAGAAAGATTTAACTGAAACGTGCCGAAAATCTTACCCAATATCTTACTACATTATGAATGAATCATTCGAAACATTCGAAATATTCGAAACATTCGCAGTAAGTCTGCTAGATTACTTCAGCTCTATCGTGCCAAATTTGAGAGTATAATATAAAGGCTTCTGGCTGGCTAATCCTCTGCACAAAATAATAATACTAATTTTAATGTTCGACAGTTTTTTTTAGATTTCATTGCTTAAGCAAAATTTCTAAATTTTGTCATATCAAAAAATATATAAAAAATAGGAGGTTATACAAACCTTAATGAAAACTTTTATTTTCTCTTGTTGATTAACAAAAATATTGTTGTAATCTTCCAAGTAGTTTATCGTTTCTAGTAGGTTCTACACAAGTAAAAAATATATATACTTTATATCAGACTTGAAATGCATAAAAATCATTTGTTTAGCTGTCAAAAAAACACATTTAACGTAGTCATATCAAAGTTAAATATGGCTTCAAGACATTTTATAGTATTTTTTATGTATGATTTTTATTTATTTATCTTAACGCGAATATTTCTCGAGTCGAGAATGTCCGACTCGCAGTTAGCCTGAACGCAGCTCTGCAAAGTAAGTTGGAAATTAATTATAATTAAATATAAAACATTTGGGTAATTAGTTTAGCTCCTGTACATCAAGAACTTCCCAATGACCCTTTTTTTCCCAAATCTATATATTACATAAAAACTTTAACTTGGACCCGTACTTTTTTAAATAATTTGACCAATTAACTGCTTTTCGTTGCCGGAAATCGAAAACTTTATAGATTTAGCCATAAGTCGACCCATTTGGAACTCTCTATCTACGTAATCTAAGCTAAAAAATAATCAAAAAAAAAAAAATAGCCTCATCTGATTCTTTATTTTTTCTAATATTAGGGCGAGTCGAGGAATGTACCCAAAAGTTTAAATACTCTTGAAAAAAAAAAATATGTTAAAAGAAAACAAGCTTGAAAATCGATTGATATCAATTCTATGAAATTAGGAAATGAGACTTGTTTTGGATCTTGTTTTAAAATTTCAGGACTTCAGTATTCAATGCTCCTAGGCCTTTTGGTCACTGAGATCTTGGAGCATCAGACAGGCAGACAGGCAGACAGTCAGACAGTCAGACAGTCGGACTATGGGACACAGCTCAATTGATTATACTATATATATATTAAATATATATATTATTTAAGGTGGGGGAGATATACCTATGCACAACTGCAATATACGATACTTTAAACTTATAAATTATTTACTGGCCATATTGTAAAATAATTGAGTAACATGCTGAAACCTTATTCGAACTGTCTTGCTCCTCTAAGAATTATATTTGATAAGGACGATTCTATGAGCAGGCACATTCTAAGACCTGCATATCGCTCCAGGTTGATATTTTTAGCTTGTCGCTGTGCTCCTCATCCACGTGCAAGATCTCCAGTTCCGTTAGCTTGGAAGGCGCACAACAGGGTCGCGGAGCACGATTGTGATCCTTTTGCCAGATGAGGCTCTGCAGGAGAGCATGGTGATGGGCGGGATTGTGCCTGGGCGGGCAGCGACCCCGGCAGTAGCCGGCATCGAATACTTTTGGCTGAATGATGAATTCGAATCCCTTGATGTCCTTAAAGGCCACATCCAACTGGTGTCGGCAGCAACGTTGATGAGTCTTATAGCAACTATTTGGCCACATCTTTACCTGATTCCTGTTGTTGTCGTGATGAAAGAACTGAGAACTGCTGTGATTATTGGCCGCGCCAAAGGATTGGACTCCCTGCTCGCGGTGCGTGCGGCCAATGTGTCCGATAATATTTAAAACGGGCGCCAGATGAAACCGATCCTCCTCGGCCGTCTCCTTCAACAAATGAGACGTGGGCGTGGCAACATCGCTCAGAATGCGAGCACCGATCCGCCGGCACTTGTCGCACTGAATCTCGATGCCCAGGTTCTCGTGGCTCTTGTTTAGCCAGCCCCGCACCGCATCGGTTACATCGAACTCTAGCCACTGACTGCGGGTCTCCTCATTCAGGCTGCCAAAATTCGGATTCTCGAATTCAATTTGACGTGCATCCAATTGACGGCGCTTGTGCATTGGCAGCAGCTGGTAAACCTTCAGGTTTAATATGTGGCTCCGGATTTTGGGCCTGGGCTTGGCTGATATGTGCGGATGATGCGCCTCTCCCGTATCGCAGCCGCCTTTGCTCCTCATCGGATTCCGTCTGTTGCCCGTCTCTAATCTGGTTCTGTGCTGGGATTGGGCTGCCAGCGCCGGATTGTAGAGCATCATTAGCCTGACATTTGCCTCATCCAGTTTTTCGTAATGGAAGTCGGCATTGTTGATGGCCAAAGGAAAATGCAGCAGAATGTTTGTCCCAAACTCATTTCCCCTTTTAAATGTTTTTCTTTCCCGATTCTTCGCAGTGCTGGGTGCACGTCTCTGGCGGATGCGGCTTTGGGTTATGTCGTTAAACCTATTTGTTACAATGCTTAAAATCTGAAGTGTTGTCGCTGGAGGTCCTGAGGATAGATAGAGGCTGTCCATGACGTTCTTCACTCCATGGTTTGTCCTTAAGCGTTCCAAGTATTCCAAGTATTTGCTAGAGTATTCTAATTGGCTAATGTTTGCCTGCAATTAAGATTATATTTAGAAAGTGTTAATCATTTTTAAGATCTGTAAATTACATTTTTGAATTAGTCTGCCTGCTATGTATATTTCTGTTCGCCTTGTACTTCAGCCGAATTTACGTTAAAATCGTCCCATTTGGGTATGCAACGCAATTTTTCATACCTCGAAATTTTAGTCTGCCTGCTGGGCATTTCTGTTCGCCTGGCAGTTTTGCCAAATTTTCGTTTAAGTCTCACGGCCCTTCTGCAGCAACACCTGTTATTTTGGTATTTTGAGTATCGGCTGATTAACAGTGATATTTAACTTTATATGCTGCTGATTAACAGTGATATTTAACTTTATATGCTGCTAATTAACAGTCGACTGTTAAAAAAAAACATTTTTCATTTGTCTGTGCATCAACCTGCTGGGAATTTCTTTACGCCTGGTACTTCAGCAGAATTTTGACCCAGTGCAATGGAAAAATTTCGACCATTCATTTTTAACCCATAATTTAATTGTGTATAACGTTTTTGAGAGAATTTAGTTGGGAATTGGAACTATAGGATCACCAGGACTATGTCTATTGTATAGTGCATAGGGAGGAGGGACAGCTGTAGGTTCACCAGGACTCAATCAATGGTATTTTGAAACCAAGGATATTATGACTTTATTATTGGCTTTATAATACAAATTTGACACAGTTGAGACATTGTGCAAGTATAAATAAATGTTTCTTAGAAATGTAAAATGGAAAATTGTGAAATTCTGAAAAATTGACATATCACATTTTTGTATGCTTTAAATAGCTGTGTATCTTAGTAAATGAAGTGCTATTCAGGAAAGGTAAGTCTGAAGGAAATGAGTTTTAAATCATGAAAACCATTTTTTCATTTATAACTCAAATTTAACGGTTGACTGTCATGGCAAACATTTTTATACACAGAGATTGAATATTGAAAAATTGCAATTTGTTGTAACTTTTAATTCTCACCTTTTTCATATCCGGTAATTTTTTTAATCCAAGTCCCTTCATAATTAGTTTGGTAAGTTTTTCTTTGTTAATAATTCTGTTGTACATATGGTTATTCTCTTTGTATTTCTCAAAGGCGACTTCTAATTTTTGGCTATCAGCATCGGGTTTACGTTTAATCTCACGTGCTTGCTCGTTTTTGGCAATATGAACATTTCGCTTGGTGCGGCGGATCGAGGAACCGTTTGCCATCACGGCTGACTTTGGTGCATCTAGGCTTTTATTTAGGCTTTTCTTACCAGAGTTTCGATTATTATCAGATTGACTTAGAACTATTACACTATATCCGCGTAAACGGTGAATAGATGAATAAATACGACTCTTGCTTTTTATTATACTATGGACTTTAGTATGGTAACTTCTGTTGTCGTCGAGTCTCATTTGGCAATCCCTTTTTGATTGAGCTCCTCGCAGCTGCACATGGCTGGGATCTAGTTGGGCCCGGAACATGTTGTGATCGAGCTCCAGATTGGAATTCGAAATTGGCATCGATATGGGGACCTTGACAACATCCTGGCCGCTAACTTGTTGTATCAGCGTGTTGCAGGTAAGCAGAAATGGCACTAACAACAGGATGACGAAACATAACTGCGTTAATTTATACAAAATATAGCTAAAGAATGTTGTGGCCAAGCGCAGATTTTTTTCAGCTCTTCTCACTTTAAATGTTCCCGATTTTATACAGTGTGCCGCTTGTGCTGCATCGCAGCTATTGCTTTCATTTTGGCAACAACAACAACAACAGTTATCCCATAAATTGAATACAACGTGCTTTGAATAAAATTCTTTAAAAGTCGTATAAGAAACTGCAGTTAAGCCATCTCGCAGCTCGTCATTTCCAAATAGTTTATTTGGTTTGCTGACCCGTTCGGTTCCTATTTGAATATCATTCCAGTTGGAAATACTTTGGAATGTTGCCGCAACGTATTCAGATTCATTACGTATTTTCATTTTTATACCACATGGCCTCAGATCGCAAATGACACAGAAATAACTGGAACTATCGGCTGCGTGTTTGATCTTGTCTCGCCCTCTTCAAAATCTCACACCAAGCTTATGTTCATTTCATCACAAACAAAATAAGGTATACATATGTACATATGTATGTATATTGATGAAGCCCGCAGTCGTGGCTTTCTTTTATTTGTGTGTGCGTACACAACACATATGCCCGTCCATCACAAATATCATGGGTCTGTGATTTGAAATTTCAATTTGGTAATTAACTCAAAATACTGTTTAGTTTTAGTTAAATTTAGAGTAAGTTAAGGATCACAGTTTATAAATAATAATAACAATAACAATAACATATGTATGTATTTCGTACACAGATATCTACAACTTCGTGTTTATTTATTTATGTACATCGAGAGCACGGACGAAAACCTGTTCGGTCAGCACTTCATATTCGACTAAAATACCAGAAAGAAAATGCTTACTCAACAGCCGCAATATAAGCAAACTCTTACTTAACATATACACACCCACACAGCTTAAATTATAACAGTGCTCGTCATTTGGATAGGGTCAGTCAAAAATGTTTGCTGCACAAGTGTTTTATATTGTATTCAGCATAAATTGTGAGACACAAAAACATTTTTAAAGACCATAAAAACTTACATATGCATGTTAAAATTTCTTTTTGCAAAATCTGTGAAATAACATTCCGTTCAAGTGTAATCTATCAAAAGAGATGAATATATAATTTATTAAGTTTTTTTGTATACTGAGACCGACTGAGCCACCTTGAAATAAACCTCCTGGACAACAACCTGCACCTCCGACGCCTTAAAAGACACCATCCACTCGACCTGCCTTTACAAAATGTACTCATTATCGAAGATTATATATAAAAAAATATATAATAAATATACATATGTATATCAATAATAGAGTAAAAATTTTATGTAGATATACATATTAACAATGCAGTGGAACTCCCAACTGCGCACACCAAATATTATATATATGTAGTAACTGGAGACATTTGCAATTTGTGCGGGTCCTATTCATTTAAGTGGAAGTGTATGCGAGTTGTTTTTTTTTTATACCCTACAACATTTTTCTTGGGCATTTCTTTTTGGGTGTGTAGCTAACGTCGCCCCACGCATTTTCTAGGAACAGAACCATACAAATGTATGAGTTTTAGGGCTGGTCAAATATCGTGTTTTTTTTACTGTGACACGATGTTTTTTTGTTCCCGAATAACGCTTCTTCGTTCCGTTACATTCCCCTGCATGTATGTACATGCATTTGTATATGTATTGTGTAGGTAATTGAATGCGTGTACATATTTTTCTTCATGATTCAAGTTCTAGTGCTTAGCTGCAGCCAACGAGATGCAGTATTTCATTGATAAAAAAATCTCGTCTCTGAATGTTAACGTAAACATTCTTTGTGCGAGATGATTAGATGCACACTAACGTATTCTCTTTACACAAACCTGTGTCAGATATTCACATACATACATACATACATATATTTCATACAGTGACTCACGCTGTAATTCACTAGGACAATATACAAATCTTAAGGGCGTTGTAAATATCAGCAAAAAATTATACACGGAAAAATGACTTTTCAAATAAATATTCCTGAATAGTATAGTAAATAAAACAAACTTCTTGTATTAAAAAAAATATTTTAAGACAGAAGGAAACAAAAATTAATTGCCATCACTTGGCTTAGCTCAACAATTTTTTATTGCCAACAGAATATCTAAAATTTAATACAACTACCTTCTCTTTCATCTACAATCACATCTGGCGTCATTTTGATACATTCTTCCGCTTTTGAGTAATTTCGCGGTTTTTCAAAATACCATCGATTCTTAGAAATTTACCCACGTAAAGTTCAATTTGAGCTGTGATCCACTGTAATCTTAATGCATACATACGTAGATGTGCAAAAATTCCCTATGCATTCATTTATCTAAACGTATGCGCGAGGGAAGTTCCTTATGCTTTCATTTGTATAAAGAGCCAGGGTAGTATGAATTTCTCGGACAAAGCGGCATTTGTACGCTTCTTTGTGTACATGGATAAGTACGCGGGCAACGGGATTTCTGTATTTATTATGAAAAACATCTTTTGGCAAGGGTAACAAATAGAGTTTGTTACGTAACTGCTTGTTTCTCAGTGGGCCGCGCCGGCTGGCTCATCGGATTCTCTGGGTGTGGTCCCATCCCTGGCCCGCAGTCCGCACAATCGATAACAACAAAGCTACACGTCTGTAGCAAAACAGACTCACACAACACTACTCAAAATGAACCGCATAATCGATAACAAATATTCGGAACTACTAACTCATGAACAAAATACACAGCTGTAACAACTATGAAAATGTAAACAACAAAGGTAAGACACTCAATATAAATTAACAAAAAAAACACTATTTATCCACCTTACTCTTCCAGATCGGGCCCCGGTTCCGGACCCAGCGTACCCGCCCTACCATGAGACGATCACCTCCACCCGTCTCCCTCATTTTGGCCACCAAATGGCCTATATTAGCCCGTGTCGGCCATAATGCCCACTCTCCCCAGCAATATTATTTTAGCCGGACATGATTTCTTTCAATTGGTGCGTATAATTGGTTGCGTTTTCTTAAAATGTATAACAATCATAATCATTGCTTATGGCATTTATCTTGCAGCTGTTTAGGATCTCATGCAAGCGGATAATTCATTAACTTCACAGGTGCGTATTACTGCTGCATATACTTATACTAATTGACACAGCGCATTAATTCCTAAATTTTTCTCTTATCTTATAGAATTAAATTTTTTTATTTTTTTACAACACTGAATGGAACAGGCGACGAAACACTACAAGGATATTGCTAGTCGCCGCAAAAGAAACGCGCAATGAGGCACTTTAGAGGCAATCGTTGCCCCGATTTAGGAACAATGGCCCGCACAATTACTTAAAACTGGGTATGTCACGTATTGTGTATTGTATGTATTAAATCGCTTAATTCTACCTTACCCTACCTAAAGAGCTCTCTGGGGGTGGTAAGGGGCGATATAAATGCGTAAATTCAAATTAGGTAAATATGTGAGCATAGTTCGCGCAAGAGTTAATTTTAGATTTTTTTTTTTTTTTTATATTTTACAGGCGCAGATGCATCACCGTTGGAGTTTTCCTCACCGTTCGCACTCTAAAGTGAAGCTCGGCGTAAGTGCCTATGTATGTATGAATATATTTTATAAATACAAATTAACCAAATTTAACGATAAAAAAAAAATCTACTCCTTTTCAGGGAGTGCAATTAGGAGTCTTCTTCTGACTCTGCCAGGGGCTCGAACGAGGATGGGCAAAACAATGGAACGGACTCACTCGGTGGATGTGGGCGGGGTCTCGCCTGTGGCCGCTTCTTCGTTGTTGGAGCCCGGTCGTTGGTGGCTCGTCTCGTCGCCTTCACGTTTGCGCCGACGCTTGCTGGCGGCGTCGCGGATATGGCTGGTTTGCGCCGCTGCACTGAATCCTGGCCTTGAATATTTCGTGGGCCTCTCTGGTGCGCGAGCTGGTCTCCTTGGTGCCGGAGCCGTTAATTTTTGGCTTATTTGGTTCGTCTCTCGTCGCACTTAAATTTTTAAGTCTCTTTTAATTTTTTTATTATATTTTCTTTGTGATTCGAGCGGTTTGATTTATGTAAATTTATTACATGGCAAAGAACACAAAAACAAAACTTTTATTCGTCTGTTAAGCCATTGGTATTATGTGCCGGCTTAATTTTTCAGAAGGGAAAAAATTTTACTCTGTCAAGCAGAAATGCAATGTCCAACTTTTTTGCTCACTTCGAGCTGGCACGCCCGCCGTTAACCGCTGAACAAATCGAACTCCACGACATTTTTGGCAGCCGCACCATCGGTGCCGAATTTCGGCACACGCATACATTTGCGAGGCGGGCACCGTTGCTGCTCATCTGCACAGCTGCATTTTTTTTGGGTCAACGGCCCAAATGAAGGCCAAGGGCATATCCAAGGGCATGCGATCCACTCTCCTCGTATTCCCTTTAAGAGCGAAACGGGCGGCCAATAGCAATCGTCGCTTTTGGCGCCGTGGATCGCATGTCTGGCGTTGCCACCCTTCAAAATTTTGGGCTCCGCCGTGGGCCCAGCTTCACCCCGCATACTCCGACCATATGCCAAAAAGATATCGGCGTGGCCGATAATATCGCACGCAACCAACTGAGTAACCCTCGGTGCTGCCGATAACGTCAAATGCAACATCACCACGCAGATTATTGTAACGACATGAAGGACAGTTACAAGGAATCTGCGTGCGCATTTCATGGATTGACCCAGCCGGCTAATAACGATGCCCAACGTAGGCCACACCCACGACAAGTAATCTATATTTTTTTTTTTTTTTGCTGACCCAAAAAAAAAAGGGGGGACTGGCGCTGCCGCCGCCGTTGCCTGGCAAGAAGGTGAGCAAATTACGATTATGTTCGTATATCTTTTGCGTGGAAGACGCCTAGCACGCGTCCCTGGAGATCTTCCAACTCGTAGGCGTTGGTTCCCACGGCTCGGACGACGCGGCTCTTCAAGAACTTCCGGGCGAACTTGGCATTGAAGGCTTTGCCGAAGCTGCTTAGTGCGAAGTTGCGCCTCCACACTTCCTGTCCCGGTTCCAGATGGAGCTGTCGCGCGCGGTGGTCGTACCGTTGGCGACTTCGCTCGTATGCGGTGTGCAGGTGGTCCTTGACTTGGCTTCGGATTACAGCCAGTCTGTCCTTTGCGTCAAGGTCAGAAATACTGTGGTCGGCCAATGATCTCAGCTTCCTGGCCAGTTTGTAACTGGAACCATTCAGGTACATCTGCTGTCCAAAGACCGCGAAGAACGGAGTGACTCCCGTAGCGCTGTGGACCGCATTCCGGATCGCCACTTCCACCTCTGGTAGGTACGCGTCCCATTCCCGATGATCCTGACCCAGGTAGGTTCGGATTGCCGACAGCACTGTGCGGTTCACGCGTTCGGCGGCGTTGCTCTGAGGCGAATACACTGGTGTGCGCAGGTGAGTAATGCCAAACGCCTGGACCATCGCATCGAACGACTTTGACACGAATTGTCGTCCATTATCCGAATGGATCACTTCCGGCACGCCAAATTTGAAGAACACCTCATGCACTAGGAAATTCACGACATCCGCCGCGGTGGCTTCCCTCATGGCCTTCAGGAAGGTAAACTTCGAGAAGTGGTCTACGACGACGAATATCCACGCATGCCCTCGTTTCGACCGTGGATACTTCCCCAAGAAGTCGATATATAGCTTCTGGAAGGGGCGGTCGGTGCGCACTTCTTCCCCAATTCCGACCTGCATTCGGTAGTTCTGTGCCTTGGTCTCCTTGCATGTATCGCATTTCCGAACATAGTCCCTGACTTGTATGGCCATGTTGGGCCAATAATATTGCCTGC